AAGATTAAGTTTAACCCTTTGGTAGTAGAGAGAGAAGAATAAAGCTGACTGTCACACTGGTTGCTTTTGTGACAGCCCCCAGGAAAACCACATTTGCTCACAGTTCTTCCAAAACAAGCACGTGCTTTCACTTATTTTTCCTTTTTTTTTCTTTTCATTCTTTCTTCCTTTGCTTGTCTTGCCTTAAGAGATGGTGGGAAGATGCTCCAATGTTCTTTTCTTCCTGTGCATTCGGTTCTCCCTTGGTGTCTCCCTTCCATGACCTACATTTCCCACTGCTCATAACACTGTGCCTGATGAGGGTTTGAAATGCTGCTAGCAAAAATAAATAAATAAATAAATGCTCATTTCATCTTGGAGTATTTAAACAAGTCTAAATTTAGAGAAGAGCTGTGGAAAAAAAAAAAAATGAAAGGGAAAAAAGGCAAAGTAACCAGCCAAAGGCATTAACTAATATGACACCTATGTGGCTGCTTCTATAAACAAGGGGGAGAACATGCGGCTTGCAGGTGAATGGGTCTGCAGGCAGATATTTACAGAGCAGCCTGGTCAAATGTGGGATCTAGGTGAACACGTTCAATTCGAGACATCCTGCTGATGTCTGATGGTGACATTCATTATTCACTGGCTCTGAGGCAACCTGAAATGAAGAAAGCGGTATAATGCCTGCCTTCATGTCAGTTGAGGGTACCTCGATATTCCCACGTATATCTCACCCAGTGTTACACTTGGGGTAAATCTGTCCTACTCTACAGAGATCCTAGTGAGGCATCAGGTATTCAGCTGCATTCCCATGGTAAACATGCTTTTGTGTGCCTCTTGTTGGAGTCATATCAGGGTCTCCTCGTGGCCACTGGCACTCATCAGCCTCTTCCCCGATGGCAGAAGAACTCTTGCATGCACCCAGATGTATCAACCATTTGCCTTGCACCCAGCTGGTATTAAAAGCAGCCAGTTTAACCCAAAACACTCCTGGGAGTGAGGGGGTATCCACACCTCTGCAAACTCAGCTTGTGACTGCTAACCCCACAGCACTGAAACCTGATCAGAAGAGATTTGCACAACCAGTCAGTAAAACCATGACTAAAAGTGCTTTTCCATTGCCTCTTCTGGCAAGGGCTCCCTCATCCTGGCAGCTGCTGAGACAGGGAGATGGCATTCTCTAGTATTGGCAAAACACTGCATGACTGCTTTCCAAACCACCCTGAGGAGCAGTTAAATCTACTCAGAAGGCCACAGACATTGTCCTCATATCTCCTGAGCAGGACACAAGCTCAAACACTGTCGAGAGAGGGGTTTCACAAGCAGGATGTTTGACCAGGGTAGAAAGGAGCTTTCAAACCCAGATACTCATCTAAGGAGTCCTACCGAGAGATGTTGAGAGGCACAAGATTATGATCTCAGATAAATGTATCTTCTGTGAAAAAGACCGTTTACTCCCATCATGCCTTATTTTAAGATATTCAAAATCAAGGCAAATTATCCTTTTTAAGTGATGACATCCCAGATGTTTTAAGTTCAGGATCATGATGGAGCAAAAACTTGCTTTGTTATATGTGGTGGTGGTGGCAGGCACACAGCAAGATCCCAGCATCTCCAGGATGAAAAACAAGTTAGTGCTCGTATTTTGCAACCTCTTCCCCAGTCCTGATATCCTTGAAATATCCTGATATCTACAGCGCAAAAAAGGACCCTGAGGCTTGCTCCATGTAGGCCCTGAGACACTGCACCAGAATACCCAGAAAATAAGAGGAGCACCCCTGCATCACTAAATGAGCTAACTGGGAAATCATTACTATGGGGAAGTGCCTCTATGACCAGCTTCAGCCAGATCAACCTCCTGGCAAAAGGAGTAGCATTATGATGAGCCTGATGCCTGAGGAGGCTGAGACACTGTCGCATCTGCTCTTCACCTCCACAAAGCTGCATACTCTTGCTGCGTTCAAGGTTGTCACTGTAGCCCCTGTTCCAGCCAACTTCTAACAAAGAGATGCTTGGCTGCTGCAGAATGCCTGATTGACCAGTATTGCATGGAGAGAGACTGCCACAAGAGGCTGTGCCATGCCCTGCACATCTTTCTCACCAGCTTTCTCTGATGCTCAGTTTAGCATTCCCCTTTCTTCATTTTGCCCCATTCTCCTTATATTTATGCTGCTGTAAGACTACATGTTAGCCAGCTGAGGCATTTCCAGGTAAAGGTCACCATATGAATACATTAAACAAATGAGGATTTCTACTGTTTAATAAACTCTCCTCATACATTGCTTATACCAGTGGTTTGATGATATTCATTCTTTAGCTGGTCTTGACATTTGCCAGTGTCTTCTCATAACAAGATAATCCAAACTGAATTCAGGTTCTAGTCAAACCAGAAATGAAAAGAGCTGGTAAATCTTCCCTCTGCCTGTGAGTACAACACAAAATCATGCTGGCATTTTCTTATTGCCCTATGGTTTTGCAAATTTAGCTCTAATTTGCTGTAATCATTCACCCCATATCTCTTGCAGCCTTGAATTCTCACTCCCTGTTATGTGTTTGCTTTCATTCTTTCTCACAGGATTAATTCTCTTTTTCCCAACCCAGACCCTGCTGCCGTTTATCTCCTCCCCTTGCTCCAGCTGTGCTCACACTCTGTGGTGGCTGAGCTCTACATAAGTAACTGGATGCACACTAATCCCGTTAAGGGTCCTCTAGTCACCTGGGCTTTTTCAGTTTTCTGTGCAATTTTCATTTCACCTTCAAATCTTACTCCCTTGCCACTTTAGATCATTAAGGGGTTAAATGAGATATATCCAGTAAATGGGATAAATCCAAATAAAGGGATTTGGATCTCCCAGTTCAGCATGTTGTTACTGCCTTGCCTATCAGTGTTTCAGGGTTCTCCAAATGCAACCAGACAGGCGCTCTTTCCAGAACCCATCTGGATTAAACTGAGTCCCAGCTGCAAATAGGACACAGTGGCTGGAAGGGTTAGTGAAAAGATCCTGCAAAAAATCAACTCACAGCAGCTCTTTGATATGGCTCCTTGCAAAGTGGAGAGAAAATGCCATCTAAAACGTTGATTCTCCTGCCTTCAGATCTCATTTCAGATTGTTTCAGAACATGAATTTTTATCATCTCTTCCTTGAAGCATCCAGACAGGGAAGCCTGCCACCTTGGATGCTACCCCACACTTTTAATCCAGATAAACACAGAGAAATAAGACCTTGAGGGTCATTCTTCCCATCTCATCTAAGAGCAATCTATTCTCTTCAGGCTGCAGAGGAAGGGGGAGGCAGCAGCCTGGTCTCAGTAGTGTGAAGCCAGCATCAGGGAAAGGGCAAACAGCTGCTTCCATTCCTACGGTCAGCACATTGCACCCCTCATCTGCTATGAGCATATCTGGGGGGAAGACATTTCTCTGCACTGTCCTCACATCTGGATCCCCACTGGGGCCGTTTGGGTCTGTATGTGTCCCTTTCCGGGACACGATCTCCCATGGCACATTTTTACCATTTGAGAAAAGCATTACTAAGATCCAGATCTGCTCTGCCTGTTGCCTTCGTTTCCTGACTATGGCATTTGCCATACAGCCCTGTGTTACCCTGAAGGCACTGTCTCTACAGCATTTGTGTGTGTGGAAATTGACTTTTCACAGATTTTAAGGTGAGAAAGAACCATTTCAACCTCCTCATGTAACCCTTTGCGCAGACCTAAGTACATAACTTGGAAATGTGTGCCCTTCAGGCTCAAAACATCTGCTTGAAAAAGATCCTAACTTTCAAAAAGATACTCAATCTGGAGTTAAAGATTGTAATAAATGCCTAAACCATCCAATTCCAAGGTGAATTATTCCTGTAATTACCTAATTGCTCACCCCAGGCGTTCAGCCTCTTCATCATACAATTTAACCTGTATTACACATTTCACAGTTTTATTCCCTTCTCTGTATTTCCTCTGCCACTTCTATTATCCCATTTAATGTGCAGCACCAATGCTGCACTCAGTAGCACATCTATAATACATGCCTTTGTTTATTTTAGTGCTTTGACAGCTGGTTTCTCCCTCCACATTCTTATGAGAAAGCTAATGATCGAGCATGGCTTTGCGTTTTGTATTAAATACACCGTTTGTAAAGGTGCAGAAGATGATTGGAAGATACTTTAATAACCAGGTTAATTCATAGCCATAGAGTCAAGGTGTTCAACAGGCAATTTATAATCTTTCAGCTGCTGTATCTATAGTTATTTATAATCCATACTTCTCGTGACTGTGATGAGCTTATACAGCATGCTCCTCATCCGAGTGTGCAGTTTGCTGCTTGCTGCTTTTCATCAAGCTCAGCCATCGGGCTCCTTTGATTCATTGGTCTCCAGACAAATGAGGGGGTGGCAATCTCAGTTGAATGTTGCCCGAACTGAGAGGTTCAACTATTAGTAAAGACTTACTAACATAAGGAGACAATCAGTTAAAAACGGCATTTTCCATGCTGTTTTTGCTTCCTGCTGCCCATTTTCCCTCCTTTTCTCTCATCTCTCCTCTCCTCTTTCCTTTCTCCTCTCCTCCTTTCTCTTGTGCAAGCTGGTCCTGTGCAAGCCTCAGCACCGAGCAGAAGCACAGCATGAACAGACTGGTGTCTGCCTTGTAGCCCACATTCCTGGTCCCAACCCCAGGTCCCCAGTGGGGAGGAGATGGTGCTGGGGTGACCTGCTGGAGCAACATGTCAGCATCCTGCAGTGTGACAAAGAGGCCTTGCTGGACACAGATCAGAGGTCAGGGTTTATTTGTGGGGGGGAGGGAGTGGATGTGCCCCTTTTAAAGCAGGCACAGCCTGACCTCTGGCTGGAGAAGCCAAACCCATCTTCAGGAATCAGAGTAATCCCGTGTGATTTTATCCCACTCCACTTCTCTAAATCTGTGGCTGCTGCTGCTTGGTGAGGGGATTAAGGGGCTGGTGGGGGATTACGTAGCTACTGCAGCTCGCGGCACGGATTCTCCCTCCCGACACGGCCGCTCCTCAGGACGCAGAGATGCACCGCACCCACGGGTGCCCACCAACGAGGGTCCCTGCAGGTTTATAGCCGCCTGCCCTGCATCAGAGACACCGTGACAGCACCCGGTAGCAGGAGTGGCATTTCCAGGGCGGAGGCAGCCAGGGTCACCCAGGGGCTTGGCCCCACAGCTTGAGGATACCCAGTGTGACAGCATGGCAGGGGCTGCGTGGGATCCCCCCCGGGGCAGCAGGAAGGACAGGGAACCCCCACATCCCGCTGTCCAGTCCTCTTGCTGATGGTTAGCACATGGAGGATGGGGCCCTGGGCCATCCTGTGGATGACACTCTGGCTCTTCTGCCTCCTGCCCTCTGCCAGGGCCCAGACGAAGATCCCGCTGGAGACGTAAGTGTTTCCTTCTCTCTGTTGTGCAGTGTTTCTGGTGTGGAGTGGGCAATGCTGTGGGCATGGGCAGGAGGATGGGAGTGCAAGCGCCGCAGGTGCAGGCTCCTCCAAAGGAGCACATCACTTCAGGAGAAGTTGTGTTTCCTTCCAATGGTGGCGATGGCTTCTGGGAAAGAACATGGGAATGGGAGCCACAGATTCCGTTCACACCTCTAGCATGGATGCAATGCCTTGTTTTTCCATTCGTCAAGCAGAGCAATGATACTCATCTGCTTTAGTTAAGCAATTTGTCATTTATTAATGCATTGCTTAATGCACTGGGTGGCAGAAGGCAAAACCAGTTTAAAGACATATTCATAAAACCCCGCCACGGGTGCAATTTGGAGAGATTCAGCCATGGAGGCAGATGCAAGCAGCCCCAGTTTAGCAGCTCCCCAGTTTAGCAGAGCCATTCCAGCAGACAGTGACAGGGACACCCCGGGGATGTATAGCAGTGGTGAGGACCTGGCTGCAGGAGGCATACGCATGGGGTGTTAGAGTGAAGATGCATCTCTCTGATACACACTAGATATGGTTCGTGCAGTACAAGCTTTGCAGCTCTGACCCCTTGTGTTGGTCTGGTACACTGATGGCCGAAAAAAAGCCTTTGTGTGCACATACGCAGCCTGGATAATACACACATGTGTTTATTCACGTGGGCAGATGTCACGGGATGTTAGGGTCATGGAGGCTACACATAGGAAAGAGGCCATAGCACCTTTTCTTCCTTACTCCTGCTACACCCTATTACAAAACGTGTAATAGCCCTTCCCAGAGCTTTGGAGCATAGGAATAAAAGGATGGGCTGCAATAGAAAGCATAAACAAACATGTTTTGTGCACAGAAGCACAGCATGGTTTGGGTTGGAAGGTACTTTATAGATCATCTATGACTGTATGATTCTATGATTCTATGATCATCTATTTCCAAAACCCCCTGCCATGGGCAAGGACACCTTCCACTAGACCAGGTTGCTCAAAGCCCCATCCAGCCTGGCCTTGAACATTTCCAGAGATGGGGCACACACTGCATTTGTGTCCAGGTACTAGTGCACATGCAGGGCATCTTCATGCACCTTTTTGGATGTGGTTTTGCAGGGCACCCATTCCTGCACGTGTGTGTTGGTGTGCATAAGCGGCTCCTCCAGCACGGTCACTGCTGGAAAACTCCCCACCAGCCTGCCCTGACAGCACCCCAGGAGGCTAAGGGCTCTCAGCAAACCCAGTGTATGAAAACTTCACCTTGTAAGCTGATTTAGGCAAGTTAAATCCTTTAAGGATTAAAAATGTCAGCACCACAGTTGGTAAAAGTTGTTGGGGGGCAGCTTCTCTGGAGCTGGGATCAGTCTGTCCACACAGGACAGCCAGTTGGTCTGGAGAGGAGACAACACTGCCATCCACTTTCTGGGGCAGACATGTCTGATAAACCAACCAAAGGCAGCTCAATCCCTTTCCTGAGACTGAGAAAATGTTTTATATTCAGTCATTGCCTATAAGACCCTTTGCAGATGTGCTCACCTATACAGCCCAGGCAATTACCAGGAGCTGCAATGACGTTATCTGGGGAGGGTCTCAGGAAACTTTGCCACCAATTTTATTCTTGGCTGCACTTTCAAGCCCTTCCTCATCAAAGTGCTTCTGATTTGCATCTCACAAAAAGGACACAGAGGTTACAGAGAATAAAATCCAACTTCTGATAATTTTAAACCATGCAAAATAAAATTCAGCTTTCCATTCCCTGGGTAAATACTGCATGGAAATACCTTTTGGCCTTGAAATCTGCAGCATTAATAACCTGGACAGCCTTTATGCTGGTTTTGCTACTGAATACAAGTGCAGGGATTACAGGCAGGCAATCTCTGACCAAATCCTTTTCTGATGTGTTTGGTTATAATGTGATAGTCCTTTACCACGGAGAAAAGAGTTACGTCACTTTGCACAATTTGGAACGTATTCATGCACAAGAATGAAGAGTAAACAATAGAAAAAAGCTTTTCTCCCCTAGCACTGAAATCAGACCCACAGCTGAATTAATCCCTGGTGGTTGAAATCCACTCCTGAATTTAACTAAAATATTAAAGTTGCTCTCTTTCAATGAAACTTCAGTAGAAGAGCACATTGGCCAGAGGACCGAAGGAAGTAAATCAGTGGAAAATGGACTTGCTTCATAGGTTATGCAGGGACATTCTGGGGACACAAAACCAAAGACTTTGAAACACAGCTGGGTTCAATCACAGTTAAGTGACATAAGGCTAAATCAGCCTGTGCTGCTCCCCAAGTCGCGTCTGGCTTTGTTGCACCATGTTCAGTTCATTGCCAGTTTATTCACATCTTTTCGAAGCTCACTTGGCTTTAACTCCAGCGTGCAAAGCTCTACTCAGTCGATTACTAGCAATGCTTCTGGGGTTCAAGGTCAGCACAGAAACCACCTCCTCTTTACTCCTGGCCACTGCTCTGCTCATCAGCTGGCCATGGCACGGTCAGGAGTTCTTGTAGCTGTGAGGATAGTGAGGATGGTGAGGATGTGGATCTGGCTGCTCATCCTTTGCTGCTTAGGACACCAATAAACATAAGGACATGCTGGTGGGAGAGGTGAATGTCAACCTGGTATGGCCTCTTTAGACTGCCCCTACCACCTGTACGTATCTCTCCCTGAGTTCATGGAGCTAGCAGCCTTAGATGAAATTTCTCTGCAACCTGATGAATTTTAGACTGACTTTTTCTCTAACTTGTTTATAAAAAAATAAGGAAGCCTATTTGAATTCAGCAGGCTGCCCTTGATTTCCCAGTACTCTGAGGTTACTCCCTTCCCTGGCAAATAATTGTCTTTTAAATATGTAAATGCCAGTATATTTCCACCTCTCCATTTGCCTCCTTTTCAACTTCTGTAAAATGCCACTCTATATTTTTAATTACCCACTCCTCAACCCTGTCACATGGGGCTTTGGGACCTTTGTGCCCTCCCATTCCTCTGTGACACCTAACTTTCCAACCAGCTCTCCAAAGCTGCTCGTCTCTGGCCCTCTGTCTGCTAAAAGTGCTCTCAAAGGCTAAAAACCAACATTCTCTTGTCCCGTTTTTAGGAAAGCAGAGAATCCCAAGTCATGATGGACTTAAAGACTGCACAATGAGCAGATCCACGAGCAGTAAGGCAGGGATCTTCCATGAAAATGTGTGTGTGGCTGGCTTCTCTAGTGACTGACTGTTGCTAAGCTTGTATTTATTGTGGGCCTCTTACTTCAGTAATAGCATCTTTCTGCTATTTTATATACATATATCACAGACTCTTCCACCCTAATGGGTTGACAAATGATGAGGGCTGGGGGGAACAGGGGCACACGCACTGCCACAAACACAACACAAAACGGAAAGGCCAGGATCATATGCACCTCATTTCTGGGGGAGGCAAATGGGGTAAAGATAAACTTCATTGCTAAAATTACTATCCCAGACTTCATGTCCAGGTTCTCTTCTTCTGCAGCAAAAGGTGAGGAGACTGAAGAATATTAGTCAATATCAGCACAAAACATCTCATACATAAAAGCTATAAAACCATCAGCAGCAGATGGGCATCGAGTTAAATGTTGATTCAGAGCTCCTTATACCTCAGGGAATCTGTTAGTTACTACAACAAGCAGGAAAGCATCCCATAAGGTGCCTGTTATGGTTTCCTCTTTTATTATAGGCTTGCTAGAATAATTCTGATACGGGGCAATAAATCCTGCTGTCCTATCAAATACCCATACTCTTTTGCATTTAAGAATGAAATGAAGAGGCAAAAGCTCTGGCTGTCAAAATAAGATGCAGAGTACAATGCTAAAAAGAAGGGGGGGGGGGGGGATGACGACGACATGACACGAATGGGTAAGCCTTGTTCTTATTGACTTCAGCTGGTGCTAGAGCACACTCAGTGGTTAGAAATTAATGCCTCATTGCTAATTGAGGAGTGATTAAAAAAGACACCCACCCTCTTATACTGCTTTTATAGGCAGTGGAAAGAGGTGCAGTTTAGTATAGAAGCCTTAAGTATGTTTCAAATCATTCCTATAGCTGCCTACTACCCTTTTTGCAAGAGGAGAGTCTAAACAGTCTTTCCCAGGCTGAAGTTAGCTGTTGTGATTATTCCACCATTGTTGCGCTGGCTTTGCTCCAGAGCTCATCTCTGTTGGTGTTTTATTGTGCTATGAAAATGGTGTGATGCACTGAGAAATTAGACCCTGATGATAAAGCCTGCTTAGGACTGGAAGAAATCTACTGGAAGCCGTAGCTAAGACTCTGCACCCCATAAATAAGTAGTGTATTCTGGTAAGTGGAGGAGGCTATTTATCCCATTGAATAAATCTCTCCTAAGTGAGTCCTTGTTGAAGGAACTGTATGTAGGTGGATCTGCTTAATGTGAATCATGTAACAGATTTTTGATGAAGTGCTCGTCAATAATGAGAGCCATCTATTTTGATTTGGATGGCTTGATGTTCAGGTTGGTCTTCAACATCCTTATATACTCCATGTGGTATTGCTATTGTCAGTTATTTACAGGATGGCACAAATGTAAGTACTGTTTTACAGTGACAAGGTGTATAATCTACTCTGGCATTATCAAGCTGTAGTATCTCCACTGACAGCAGTGAATTAGTCTGGCTTGTTGGTCTCTGCTCCACAAAGCTCTAGGAACTGAATCCAAGGGGTGAATCTTGACAACTTCTTTCAGGTCTGGCACTTATTTCTCTTCAGCAGTCTTGACATTAGGTGTCTAGCCCTTCACCCCGGGCTCTGTCTGCAACCAGTGAAGACAAATAGGTGTCTGCAGAGAGCTATTCATATCACTTTGCTAACAACAGAGGAAAACAGCTGATGCTGAAGACCAAATGTAGAAGTTTTGTACTTCTAAAGTTATGTGAGACAAATTCACTAAGTCAAAACTTGGTGATTAGTTAAAATAGTGACTGAGACAGGCAGAACTCAGTGTCTCTCCTCACTGACCAATGTCCCAGACAGAACGTCCAAGAGCAATGCTTGCTGCCTGCCTTACTCCTTGTCTGGCTAGCAGTATGGGGAGAAAGCTTTGTTGCTGTCACAGTAGTGGCTTAGAGAAAAAAGGGGAGGATTCATACTCAGGAAAATTGAGCTTTCCCCGTCTGAAGAAGTAAACAGTTCTGCTGATTTTTATTAACACTGATTTATCCTTTTTTCATTTTTTTAGGGTGAAGGCTTGGGCAGATGCCTTTGGTGGGGAGCTGTACTCCATTGTGACTAAGTATTCAGGCTCTCTCCTGTTGCAGAAGGTAGGCAAAAGCTGTGAGGGTTCAGTTGCTTTGGACTGTCTCCCCATGTAGCCCTCCAAGCTTTCCTCTGGGATGGAAGAAAGCAAGCCACACAGGTCTCCAGTTAACTCTCAAAACCCATGTAGCTTCATATCCATAAGCAGAGAGTGATGCCCTGTGGCCATTCTCCGTGAAGTGGAGAAGGGTGTCCATCTATCTAATGCCCTTCCTGTTTTCATTAGCCATGGCTGAATGGCACTTAAATAGTCCTGTTTTAAAAAAAGAAATACTTTTTAACAGTACTAATTTTGTTTCCCCTCTGATAATCATTTTATGCCCTTTTGTACTGACCCTTCGCTCCTCCTTTCCTAATTGCCTATCAGTTCCTATCCTGCCCATCACTCCCATGTTCATGGTCATCCCATTGTCCCCTCCTGCAGCTCTCCAGCTGGCACTCTTGTTTCTTTCTGCTTTCTTCATCTGTCTTCCACCAGTCACTTAATTCTTTGAATTCTGCCCTTGAAACTCTGCTTTGGACAAGGTCCCTGAGGCAGCTGCCCTCGAAGCCACGATCTTCCAGAGGTGCAGAGCTCTGCTTGGCCTGGTCACCAAACACCAGGCACCATTGCACGGAAACAACAGTGTCAGTACCTGAAACCAGCATTAAAGGGTGTAGCCCCAGAGGCTTTAATAAAGGTCCCATTTGCAGATGTAGAGAAGCTGTCCTGTTACTTTGACTCCTGAAGTCAGAGGTGAATGGCTGCTCCTCTTCCAGGCTTGGTGAGCTCTGCACTGCGGGAGCAGGGCTGCATGGATCAACAGGTCTCAAGTGCTGTGCAGGGGGCCTGGTGGCTGCTGGGTGCATCTGAAGTGATGCAGTCCCCTCTCCACCCCATGGGACTGTCCAGTTCCTTTTCTTTACTCTTCCTCTGACCCTTCTCTTCAATACAAACCCTGCATTGTCTCTTAGGCCTTCTAGGTGCCTGATTTCTGTCCTCGTATTAGTAATAACACCCATATCTCAGTGCAAAAGGAAGGATCTGGATGTCATTTGCCTTGCCTTGCTTCTGAGCCCTTCTTTCCCTGTGTCCACAGTGCTGCTTTCTATCTGGAGTAAAGGAGTATCACCCTTGGTAGGCTTGGCCATGGACGGCCTTCAGCATCCACCAAAAAGATCCATACTGATCTGATCATCAGACCTTTTTAGGAGGAATGTGCCACTGTGCATTAAAAATCTGTCAGCACGAATAGAGGTACTTCATGCACTAGTCATGAGGCAGCTGTGGTGGGTATAGATGCAGGTAAAAGTTTGGCTTTTAGCAGTTTGGATGATGTCTGCATTGCCCATTATTCCATGGGGTCTCCAAGAGATAATTGTCAGAGGCAAAGTGACATGCTCAGGTATTTCTGGTGGGTGCCAGAACTCCACTGGGTGTAAGATTCAGACTGGGATTATTTGATAGTCAGGCATCTGCATCTGATGCTATATAGGTATGCTTAAACATAGCCAACTTGCACTGCTTGTGTGGCTATTTCTACCAAGAGATTAAGGGAGTTGATGTTCCTTAAGGTCCAAAAGTCAGTGGGACCAAGAAAAACAGGGTTTAGCTTGAAAATAGCAGTGTTGTGAAAGTTAACAATGGCAAATGTGATACTAGGGTAGGTGTTAAGACAGCTGTGCTGTTGACCCTTTAGGAATGTTGCACTCGATTGTTTCACCCCCCTCTGTCCATACTGTCTTGTCTCTTGGGATCTTGATCTTTTGGAGGTATGGGTTATATGAGACCTGTAGATTCTAGTATAGTACCACTGAAAATGACAGTCATGGCAACCAGATCTTGAACAAAAGTTCTCAACTTTATCAGCTTTTGGTGTAATTCACTGGAAGCAAAGAAAACTGATTTTTGATGAAAAAGAAACCTGAATGTTACAAAATCCAATCTTGCATTCATGTCAAGGGCCGGGAGGCAGAGCTGTATTTCCCTGGTGGTCTGACAGCCTTATAAAACAATTGGACTTGCCTGTCCCAGTCCTTGTCCACATGGCTTTGTTCTGGGAGAGGGGAAGGTGTCTCATTTGCTCTTGCAAGTGTTGGGGCTTGGATGTAGCACAGACAGATTGTGCTTTGCACAACCTCTGTGGATGCTCTGCATGGAACGCTGTCACCCATGATTCAGAGGGAAAGTGTCCTTCAGTGAGCCACTGTCACCACTTCCAGCACTGGGATACAGATGAGCTCGATCCGGACTTGCTCTGTTAACACTCCAGTGAAGAGCCATCTCCCAAATGCACATCCTGTCCTGCTGTTGTGGTTTAGACCCAGCCAGCAATTAAGTACCGTACCACTCCCTCACTCCTTCCCTTCCCCAGCCAGGGTGGCATGGGGAGGCAAATGAAGAGAATGTAGAATCTATGGGTTGAGATAAGAATAATTAAAATAAAGTGCAATATAATATTAATAAAAAGGGTTATAATAATAAGAAAGACATAAAACAGAAAAAATCAAAACTTAATAAACACAAGTGATGCACAATATAATTGGTCACTACCTGCTGACTGATACTCAGCCAATCCCCAAACAGTGATCAGACAACTCACCCCGGTTTACATACTGGGCATGATGTGCTGTGGTATGGAGTACCCCTTTGGCTAGTTTGGGTCAGGTGTCCTGTCTGCTTCCCCCAGGCTTCCCATGCCTCTTCTCACTGGCAGAGCATGAGAGACTGGAAAGTCCTCAATCAGGGTAAGCACTACATAGCAACAATTAAAACATCAGTGTGTTATCAGTGTTATTTTCAGACTAAATCCAGAATAAAGCGCTGTACCAGCAACTAGGAAGAAAATTAACTATCCCAGCTGAAACCAGGTCACCTGCCCTAACCTCAGCAGTTTAAACAGCTCAGGACTGCCCTAACCTCAGCAGTTTAAACAGCTCAGGATTGCCTTTCAAGCTTGAAGTCACTCTTCTTGAGCTCTTTCATTTTCCCTTATTTCCCTGGGCCTAGAAAAACGGTCCAGGGATATTCCCTTATTTTCCTGGGACTGGGGAAATAGGGGAGGACCAGGGAGCACACACAACTTCAGTCCTTCTTTCAGCCTCTGTTTCCTTAGCAAGCCCTGGGTTAGACACTTACTCACAAATCAGCATCTCAAAACAGATGATCCTGGATCATGACACCTACACTGCTACAGAAGGATGGCTTCAGGAGGGCATATACAGATCTTTTACTAATAGCAATGTTTTCATGCCCCATGAGATGCACCTTGGCAGACCACAAGTAACTTTATGTGGATCGTTAGAGTAGTGCAGACTGCAGGCCTGCACAGGGGAGCCAAATGCCCTGAAGTTTGGAAAACCAAACGTGCTTTCCAGGCACCTTCCTCTTTTTGGGCCATTGCCTCTCTTTCACATTAACTATTTCTCTGTGTGTGTGAGCATGCACAGACCAGCAGAGGAATGAGGGGCACAGTGTAGAGACCTTTTCTGCTTAAGTTGATAGGCATTTTGCCTTTGTGGAAATACAAACTGAGAGAAAACAGCACCTTTCATATTTTGTTTCATGCTCCCTTGTGCCTAATAGGTTCAAAGTAACTAACTTATTGTTGCTTTGAGAGCCATAATTATTCAGTTACTAAATGTTTTGTATGTAGACCTTCTCCTTAATATTTAGCATAAACTTCCTTTTGTGGCTTTGAGTTTGCTTGGTTTTCTTTAGGGTTTTTTGTTTGTTTTCCCAGAAGAACTCTAATATCTCATTGCAAATCCAAACAGTCAATTTCTTGCCAGGCTTTATTGTTTCAAGAGACCTGGTGAATCAGTAGACATCTCTTGAATCCGCAAAGGCAGGATTTCATCCTGGATCAGAAGGCTTTTAGAAAGCCCCCCAGGTGTTTCTCTATCCCAAGCAGTAAGGATATCCTCAAATTAAACCTCATCAAGGTAGCAGAAGCCAAAGAGTGATTTTTGGTTTGATGGCTGAAGTATTCAGGGTGGTTGTAACTAGATGATCTTAAGGTCCTTTCCAACCCTAACTATTCTATGATTATGCAGCAGAAGTTAAGGTAAGTTGAAGTGGAACTTTTTACAAGGGCAAGTAGTGAGAAGACAAGGGAGAATGGCTTTAAACTGACAGAGGGGAGATTTAGATTAGATATTAGGGAGAAATTCTTCATTATGAACATGCTTCCATTTCCTGGAAGTGTTCAAGGCCAGGCTGGACAGGCCTTTGAGCAACCCGGTCTAGTGGAAGGTGCCCCTGCCCATGACAGAGAGGTTGGAACAGATGATCTTTAAGGTCCCTTCCAGCCCAAACCATTCTATGATTCTGTGATAAGCTTGCATAACTAAACCTGGCTCTAAGATGATGGATCTGTGTTAGAATGTTGACCAGAGTCTAGAACAGCTGAGAGCAATACAGCTGGAATAGAGAGGTAATGTGAAAGGCTGAGTAGGGGGAAGAGAGTAGCATCTCCCAGAGCCAAGGAACAGAAAGCTGCAACTTGTGGCTTATGAGGTCTGTTTGCTGATAGTCCTGCTGCTGCAATCAAAGTGGCAGCCATGCCAAGAAGATGATACGGAGGTTCTTGCCTCCAAGTGGCAGGAACGCCATCAGCTTCAGCAGACCCAAATCTTCACTTTTTCTTCTACTGTGTAAATGATGCATTATAAGTGTTTCCTGAGAATTGCCTCCTGCCTCCTTATGGACCTGAGGTGATGATTGCCTACCCCATTGGATAGGGCTGAGAAAGGACAGCACGACTTGGCTGTTTGCTCCAGCTATGTAATTACTAGAAAGCACGACAAATAACTGCATGGTGAAGAATAGAAGTTAAAGAAGTTCAGTCAAGACATTTTCCTGGGTGAAGATGAAAGGGATGTCTTTCACACTCTTAATATAGTTTCACTAGCAGTGAGTAATGCAACACCGTGTACACCAATGGGCTCAATTTCATGGAGGTGGCAACAAGAAAATATATTTGGTGATATATCTCTGTTCACAGATAAAACTTAGAATACTGGGTCCTGGATATTCCAGTTTTAAGTCACCACCCCCATCACTGCAGAAGGAGAATCTTAATTAATTGCTCCTTCTATTTTAAGGGAATACTAATTACTAGATGAATATGAAAAGATTTTCTGTTAGATCAGAACTTTTTGGCCCCTTTTCAACATCAGATCCTTTCAGCCAATTCTCCCTAAGTCTACAGACAATTCCTGTTCTGGAAATTATAATGATCTGATAACTTGAACCCTAAACTTATTCTGTGCAGGCTAATCTTGGTCAGCTACAAGCACCTGTATTGACATATGCATACTTTCAAATATGGTGTCTGCTAACAATATTGAAGTCACAGGCGCTACTTCATTGCTCACCTTTAGGAAGTCTTGGAGTGAATGTTCATTAATAGCAGGAGAATTTAGTGGCAGTGATTCAGATAGAAAGTTGTTTGTTAGACTGTAGGAGGAAAAAAAGTTCAAACCAGGTGTATTCCTTGCAGCCAACTGAAACTTTGCAGAAAACTTTTTGGTGGTTGTTTTCCTGTCTTCTCATTCCTGGCTAGTTCCCAGGGCTGAGACGTGTGTACAGTATTATCAGACTGCTCATGATTGCTCATGATTACTTTTACCTTGTCAACATCTACTTGTCAATGTGTCAAAAGCACATTAAACAATAATTGAGAGGTGAAAAGCCCTGTTCTTTTTCATTCAAGATATGACCCAAAGTAACCGATGGCAGGTCACTTTGTAAAGTGCATGCTTGCCCGTGCTGGTGTGGTCCCCCCCCTTCACTAGCTTTCCCAGGAGAGATTACCCTCCTCCCCCCGAGGAGGGCCTGATTAAAGCCTAGCCTGGCAAAGATCCCTTCCCTTACAATGAAACCATGACACAGAGCTAAATGGGACAGGCACCAGCTGGGATGCGTCCTGTGCTCTTGTCAGCAGTCAGGGACCTCGGTCAGGGGGGTTGTTGTTGCACGTCCCTCTTTCAGCATCATGGTTACGCTAACCTTCGTGTTCAACCCTACCTCCTCCCCTGCCGGTCCTGCCTACTCAGCCACAGCAGAGGGGATGCAAGGACTGGCGTATTTAATCCGGTAAAACCCTTGCTGTTAATCACGCCAGACAGAGCAAGCAGCCTCTCTGCCATGCCTGCTGCAGGCTGGATGCTGCTATTTCTGTTTGATGTCCTCAGCCTGCCCCATCCTCAAGGCATTTCTTACCCTGCCTGGGCTCAGCTGCCCTCCCTCCCAGATGGTCAATGAGCTTCTTGAACAAAAGGAGCTCTACTACCCACCCTAAAGACATCCGAAGTTGTCACCATCCCCTTTCTTCTAACTCCAAAGTGCCTCAAAAGTCCTGCCATCCCCTTACCCTTTCACCACCTCATTTTTTACCAGCACAAGAAGTCCAGCCCTGGGTGAGATTGATGCTGTGGTGTTAATACAACATGTAGATGATGGGAATGTGTATACACTGCAGAGAGAAATGATGATGAGGGATGGGGGAAATTCAGTCTCTGTTGCCTTCATGCTTCCACATTGCTGGGGGAAAAGGCTCTGGCTTTTGTGAAATAAGTTAACCATATTGTGTCCTTTTGCAGGTTGTTTTACTCTTCATTTCTGCCTATCTTTGTTAGGTTTGGGATTTATTTTTCTTTTTTAAAGGGAAATAAGGGCCACTGTATCCAGTCTTGAAAGGGGAGATTCAGGGAGGCAGATTACAGTTATCCAGTTTGGGAGTACTGTCAGGTTTTTAATGCCTAGATTCTACAAAACATGGTCAGAAGAAACTGGTTATCTCTAAGGCTGTCAGACCCAGATCCTTCTTATTACGGCATCTCTCGCAGTGGAGGCAACAGTACATAGTTACACTTGTAATTCCTAGTTTCAAGGAATCACCTCTGCGGTACTCTTGGCTCAAAGTGTGTTGTGCATGCTGAATAAGTATCATAACTGTCTCACTGACCTTTCCTTAGCAGTTTCCCACCTAAGCCTGAGCAGACCCTTCTTGCTGCAGACCTGATAAGTTACCCTACAGATAGGATGGCACTGTGGGAGGACAAGTTATTACACTAGCATGACATCTCTCCCACTAGTGACCCAGAGCACATATGGTGTAGGAGGCAATATAATGACAGTATACAGTTCCTTGCCCTTCTCTCTGCCTTAAGTAAATTTCAGGTATGTGATGTACATAATGTTATTATGGATGTAAGCACAATGTGTATTTTTGGTTTTCAAAAGCCTCTTCTGCTTCTCTCTCCTTTGTAGTCACTAATAGCTTCGGGTACATTGCTGTTTTCAACAGTTACAAGCTCACAATTGGATCAGTTGCCTTTACTTAGTCAAAATGCTTTGTGTTACGGCCAGTGATCTGCACACACCCTGAAAAGGGGGGAAATACAAAGGGGGGTGTGGGGTGTGATAAATCAGACTGGTTCTTTCAACACATCTTTCTTCACCAAAAATAATAATACCTAGCTAACAATAACAGATTCACCCCTCTCCTTATGAGCCTCCTGCTCAGCAGGGTTTTCTGCTTTCCCTTGGGTAGAAGTACAAAGATGTGGAGCCAACGCTGAAGATCAAAGAGGTGGATGGCTTGGAGCTGGTGAAGAAGTTCTCAGAGCAGATGGAAAGCATGCTCCGCAGGAAGGTCGAAGCCGTTGAGGTAAGACCACCAGGGCTAAAGAAAGGAAATCCTCTCCTGTCAGCCCCAGAGCAGTAGACACAAAGCTTCCTGCTTGTACCAGGAGTGTGTGGGCACAGAGGTTGCATGAGGACTTCCTTGCCTAACAAAATGCCTGCTGATGCAGCTGGCTGCTCTCTCTGAGCTTTAAGTAGACACTGGTGGGAGGATGTGGGCGTTCAGACAAGGGAATGCTGGCTTCTCCCTCAGCCCAAAGTAGGAAATGAGATACAAACAAAGTCTAGGAATAAATATGAGGGAATGAATACTCTTCCAGGAGAAAAAAAAGCTGTTTATAGAGAAAAAAAACACCTCTCGCAAGAGAAAAGCCATCCTTGCATAATGCAGTCTGGCCATTGAAGACTGGTAGCTTGTTTCAGCTGTGTGTGTGGCTCAAGGGAAATTTCTGCAGCCCCTGAACAGAAGCTGCAAGGAAAGTGCTTGGTTTTCCAGCTGTGTACATGGGGAAGTGTGGAGGAGGTGGCAAGAGGTCTTTAGCTGTTGCTGTGTTGGAGATCAGAGCGAGTAATCATTATGGCCCCTCTTACCTCTTGCATCTAAGGATCTATCATATTCCCTTATATTTACCCACTATGAAAAGCATATTTCTGTAGTCACAGAGCCTTGACTGTTAAAGGCATCTAATGTGGAAAAGTCATCCAGAAACACATCATTTGAATCCCAAAGTGAAATGTGGGCATATTTAGACCCAGAGCTTTGGCCCATAACATTAAATTCATATCCAGACTTTTCCAGTGTTTGGATTTCCTTATCCTTTGTGAAGGAGCAAAAAGTAGTTTTGCTGAGACTATCGCTGATTGTGCAGCTCTGAAAACATGTGCATGTGTAGCTGGATTCCTTCCCAGTCTGCACCAATTGAGAATTAGTGCCCTGAAGCATCACAGTGGAGAATGCTAGTTGATTATTTTGTCTTCCATAAATGGTAAGAGCTTATAAATGGCCACACCATCACTGAGTCCTTTATGAAATCAAGTCATGGTCTTTGTCTCAGTAATAATATACCAATATTGAGACTCCCACAAGGCCTTTTCTTCTGACAAGATACTGACATCAGGCTGGGTCTACCGTGCCTTTCCCATGGCTTTTTGGAAGGGTTCATGGAAAATGAAATTAAATCTCTGGCTGTTCATTCTCTGAATCAACATGTTCCTGTTTGTATATGTCCTGTGATATCTAAGACTGCTCAGGGGTTTAGTGGGGACTCTGGAGTAAGTAGGTGTGAATACACTTGGCAGTAAATAGCTGTGAATATACCTTCCAAGATGTAAAGTTGCAGCACAGAATGACAGGTCAGCAGAAAAGGAGGGTAGGAGGGAAGTTTATAGCCCTGTGACTCTGTGTTGTGGTAAAGGGGGCAGTTGCGTGTCTTTTCACTACCTGTCTGAATGGCTGATACAGCTGGAAGAGCTTATGGAGGGTTTTTTACTGCACTCCCTCATCTTTCTTTCCATGTGCTTGCATTAGAGGTTGGTGGAAGCAGCAGAAGATGCAGATCTGAACCACGAGTACAACTCCTCACTGGAGGTAAGTTTATCCTAGTCAGTGACAAAATATGACACGCATCAGCCACCTCAGGTTCCTGAACAGGTTAGGAGTTTCCTTGTCTTCAGGGCACTCGGGTTGTCTAGAAGGTAGTGTAAGAGACTCCCTTGGCAGATCCCAAACCTAGTAACACCAAGGAGATTAGTCCCTTCGGTGCTGGGAGGGGAAGGATCTGTGAAGACGTTGGGTTGTGTGATGTTATTGGCATTACATTTCTGCACACCAACGTTGTCACTATATGATGCGTTGTTGCAAATTAGCTGGAGCTTTGTCAGTTACTTGACTGGAAAACGAACTAAAAATTGAGTGTGTATGAGTGATGAGGTGGATGCTGTTACAAATACCCACAGCAAACTGCTAATCCCAATGAGCTGAGTTTCTCACTATCTTTCTCAACAGCTCCCATCATCTTTTCTCTACCCTGCAGACACCCACTTGATAGGACTCCCCTTAAGTGAAAGCTTGGTGTTGTCCAAGCCGTTTGGTTAATTGGCTTTCTGTTAACAGCTGTTGTAGCCAAGCTATGGGATTATTGTTGTTGAAGGGAACTGGAGTGAAAACTCTGCTAAAGAATGTCCGCTGTCCTCAGTGCAAGCACAGAGTGCTTAGTAGAAGTACAGGCTATCGCTGCAAGTACACGTCTCCATGCTGGGAAAAGGTGGGAGTGAAAATGGTTCTTGAAATCAAGCTAGCTGCCGTCTTCACCTCTTTATTTAAGAATCCCATTACAGTCATGCTAGTTGGGTTAGCTGCATTCACAGTAAGGGTCATGGGTGAGTTGAAGTACTTGACTGTATTCCCACACATCATTCACACTGCCTGAGTACTGTTAGCTTGAACATAAAGCCTTAAATAACCTCTGCCCTTGGATAAAGTCGACAAAAACATCTTCAAAACATCTATTATCAAGGGTGAAGAGTGTCCTGAGGATACTAAAATGGCTGTAGGTGCTAAATCACCAGTGGCTTCACAGGGGGAAAACTCCATTATCTTTGATCACCTTCACTCTATCCTTCACTATTTATGTGTGCCTGCTGCTTAGAGTGATAGAGTGAGGGGATAATCCTGGATAGATGAACATCAACAGCTCGCTCTAGTAAATGACAGCTGCAGAGACAGGACAAGTAAGGTCTGGATTGGCATGCCCTGTAGCAAACCTGGGAGGCAGACCCAGTGAGACACTCCATCTCTCTGGCTAGTCACTTAAATACCTGTGAGGGACCACAGGAGTCCACCACTCTGTCCCTTTCCTCTCAGGTGGCTCTTTTTCTGCTGGTTATGACCATGCTTTCAGTCATATGGGCACCTGACAGTGAGAAACTGGTCAGAAACCATCATTTGTGCAGCTTGACAATTTTCGGTTGGTAATGGCTGTTGGTTGCTGCGCATCATGATCCTATTTGAAGCCCAAATTCTTCAGGTGTCACTTCACCTTTTAAAGAGGTTTTGAGTTTTTTTTCAGGCAGTACCTGGTGATAGTCTGTCTTATTCTCTCTTGTTGCCTTTCTCTCTTCCATTGTCATCATCAACAGTTTGATTACTACAACTCTCTCCTGATTAATGATAAGGATGAAAATGACAATTATGTAGAGCTTGGAGATGAATTCATTTTAGAGCCAAATGAGCATTTCAATAATCTGCTGGTGAACACAACGTACAGTGATATCCAGCTCCCCACCAACGTCTACAACAAAGGTAATGGCCTCTACTTTCTCACTACTAGTAGGTTACTGTGGAAACAACCAGTAATAATACTGAAAGAAAAGATGGGAATATTAAAAAAAAAAAACACAACTGACAGAAAAGAAAACAGGGCTGGAAAGATATTGTCCCAAGGCATGTCTATGCCTGTGCTGTAGCTTGTCACTGTGACAGGGCTTAGGTATAATCTGCTCTTGAAAGACCTCTGATTATGGACAGTTCTCCATAATCAGAGGCAGGCAGTATAGTCTCCTAGGGTTCATCTATCCACGCAAAGATGCTATGAAACACAGTGATGTGAATTTACTGGCAATCGTCACTCCATACAAAGGATCAGATCTATCAAGGTCTTCAGGTGTTGAGGATCTCACTGATTTTAAATGAGATTTTAGATCCCAAGTACCTTTGTATTATGGGGCACTAACAGCTCACAGGGACACTTTTAACTCCTAATGAGCATATCCATAGGGACTGAAGGTAGAATCATAGAGTCACAAAATGGTTTGGGTTGGAAGGGACCTTAAAGATCCTTTAGTTCTAACCCCCCTGCCATGGGCAGGATAATGAACAACTGTTAGAAGGACATGACTATTCTGGGTTATTTTTCTCAGTGAGCCTTTGGCACTTTAGCAGCTGCAGAAGGCCAGGAAGGCACTGAGGCTTATACGGCCTCGTCTGTGCCCAGAGTGTGTCCTCTCCTCCTGCACATCTTCCACTCTGGCTACGCACCAGAAACCACTCCATCTCCAGGCTGGTCAGCACACTGCCAAATCTGCGGGATGAGGCACCAGTTGTGATCGTTCTGAGTTTACTGCTCCTTTTGGCCACCACTTGAAGCTGCCTGAACTGGCTCCTTCCCTGCCTCCCCATCAGCTCTTCCCCTTGCGTACATTTTAGCAAGAAAAAAAGCTGCCATTACTTCTCTCATTTACAATCTTCAGGACCAGACAGGGTAGGTGCTGGTGACTGTGCTCACAACTGTTACATTATTTAGAGGGACAATAGAGGGAGTTCTATTTCTCCCATGATTTTCAATTAGTTCCATCTGGTCTGACAGCACCAGACACTAAAATCTTGCTCACAATAGAGCCACCAGCAGAGTTGGCTGTGGGCAGCTACATAAAGTAGGCTGCTGCCTAGAGCAGCACACAGGAAAAGGTGGCCAAATGGATGCTGTCAGAGACAGGAGAGAGGCGCTGCTCAGCTAGCTGATTTCTTGCCTCTAAAGCTTGACACAAACCATCCAACTGCTATGGCTGGATAATGAGCAGGAGATGGAGGAGGAGGAGATAGAGGAGAAGGAGATGGAGCCATTTGATACCCGTGGCTCATGCCGGGACCAGTGCTTGGCAGTACTCACTCCCTCTTTTGCAAATTGCAGCAAGCCTGGCTCTCCACAGCTCTTCTGGCTCCCTACATGTATGAGTTCCTCTGGCCTCATCCCTGGAGGAGTCACAGTTCAATTTTACCCTATTTTGACCAAAACTGCCATTAGTAAAGTGACTAACAGGAAGTGGTAGGCCAAAGCCCCTTCCCTTTCAACATTAATACATCTAATCCTACAATAATTAGTCTCATAATTCCCTGTTTCTATTGCTGCTGCTCTGTTTGGTCTCCTGAGGCAATGAGTCAACACAGACACCAAATATACATTGTCTCTTACGAATTCTTGCAAGCCTGCAACTTGCTATTGATTCTGATGAGATCAGGGGCAAGAGAGGACAGCTCAGGCTTTGTAAAAGAAAGAGGAGGAGACAAAAGGATTGTTGGCAAAAAGAGGAGAGAGAAATGTCATGAAATCCTAGAGCTCCTCTGTCTTAGGCAGTTACAACTAACATAAACACTCCTGAGCCCTGCCTGTGTGGTGTGGCCCGTTGTGCTCAGTGCAGTGCTGGTTTTCTGGGCTTCTCAGAGCCCTCTTCCAACCAGGTGTAATGCCCAAGGGCAGAGAAGGATGGAACCAGAAACAGGGATAATAATATATGACCAAGATCACTTGTAGCAGCCAGTGGTGACCTGGCCTCCAGGATTTACTGGATGATGTATCCAGTTCCCTTCCCATTGTCAAAGTTTTGGACAAGGCTGCACAGCTCCTGGGGTTGCTTTTGTTCTCATCTCTCTCCTCCATTGGAGGTGGTGGGTCACCTATCCTCTTTTGCACTTTTTTCCCTATTTTCTATTCTTTCATCACAGACCCGGACATCCTGAATGGTGTTTACATGTCAGAAGCCCTGAATCCTATTTTCGTGGACAACTTTGAAAGGGATCCCACGCTGACCTGGCAGTACTTTGGCAGCTCCACTGGATTCTTTAGGCTCTACCCAGGTAAAAGAGCAGAGATCAGCTTTGCTTTTTCAGTGCAATGCAATAGTCTTGCAGGACAAGGTCTGTGCCATGGAAGAGCTCAATCTGGGAAGGTTGAGGGCAGCATGACCCCATGATGGGCAGGGTGCAGTGAGAAAAATACTGAGTGCATGGGCTGCTGACACTTAGGAGGAAGGAATAGTGTCCATGGTAGGCATGACCCCCTTTTTCCTACATGGACCAGCCCCCTAAGCATGATGTCCTTGAAATCCTGGAGAAGGCTGCTTACAGGTGCTCCAAAAAACCTCACAAAACACCATGGCAGCACCCATCTCTCAGGTGGGGTGCGGATGCTGCAGGAGGGTTCCCTGCTTCATGCTTCCCTGTGGTTTTTAATAGCAGCCACAACCCCTCTCCATCCACGTGGCAGATGCTGCTGCCAGTCTGACTTGTTATCCACACATGAGCAGAGAGCTGCATATAAGGTCATGGAGCAAGAGGGGAAGGTCTGTGCTTGAAGGAGCCCACAGGATCCTCCACAGCTGTAGCCTGGCCTGCTGTCCCCTTCATCAGATGGCTGCATGCCCTTGTTCTGTGACCTGTCACGTGTTGTGGAAGGGAAAAGTAGGGATGACTGTGAGCAGAGCAGGAAACAGGGGACATGTCCCTGTTACTGCTCCTGTGTTTATATGCTCTCAACCACTGTTGGGGAGAAAAAGATGTTGAAAACTACATCAAAGTGGCAAAAAGCTCAAACTAAATGCAGCTGCTCCCCATAATGAAAAAAAACTGTATCTAGGTACATTTTTAAATAGGTATCTATGTAGCTCTGCTTGTTTTTCTACAGAATGGCCACTGCTATTGCTGGCCAGACTTGTATGCCCATGAGGTAGCTGTGTCTCAGCAGTGAACAGTGGAAGTTCCCTGGGGAGTGGGGAGCAGATGCCTGCCTGTCTGTGTGTGTTTATTGCTCCTTTTGTTGCTCCCCTCAGGAATAAAGTGGTTACCAGATGAGAATGGAGTCATCTCCTTTGACTGCAGGAATCGTGGCTGGTAAGAGTTTTGGAGAGACTTAGTCAAAGCACCTTTCAGTCTTCCTCTCCCCCTCTTTTCCAAAGTGACACCTTGGTGAGTTCCTGATCACCAGCTACTGCCCCGTGCGGCTTCTGCAAGAAATGAGGGCTACATAAATGAAGGCAGTGGCAGGTTAGGAAGCTTTACCACCTGTCAGTTCCAGCTTGCCTTATGGCATCTAACATGTGCCACATGAATATTGCCACTGGTTTGTCCTTCCTCTGTCCCATCCTTCTTATAATTCTGTGACTGGAGGGATGGGGCTGTTCAGACTCCAGAGATGTGAAGTGTTTACTCAGTCTGTTCAGCATGGCTAAAGGAGGCTTTAGCAATTGTCACTGTTAGCTGTTTGTGGACGTACATCTGCAGCAGGCCCAGCACTTGCCAATGTGGGAAGTGAGATGCTGGGGCTGGTGGAGAGGCATGTTGGTAGGAAGGGACCCATTGGATACCCAGCCTGACCCTGCTGAATAGCTGTGTTCGTGACACTCGTTTTGCTGCCTCTAGCATCACGCAACAGCAGCACGCTCAGCATTCCTCCTCTTTGTACACTCACCCTGCTTCCTTGTATTCTTCTTTTATAAAAGGTACATCCAAGCGGCCACCTCTCCCAAGGACATCGTCATCATTGTGGACGTCAGTGGGAGCATGAAGGGCCTGCGGATGACCATTGCCAAACACACCATTACCACCATATTAGATACTCTGGGAGAAAATGACTTTGTCAACATCATTGCAGTAAGTATGTCCCATTTTCATTAAGTTGTCTTCCTTGTGCCTTATACCAGCTTTTTCAGTCCCCTTAGCAACTATAGGCATTACAGTGGTGTAACTACAACACTTAGTACCTATGTTGGATGGTGGATTAAAACCAATTACCTTTGGGAAGCTGGCTTCATGTGGTCAGCAGGGTGGCTGCTAAATCATCATCCCCCTGCCCCACCCCGGAGGATGTCAGCTGCATAGTTTTGCTTACTTAGGGATGTGAGTGCAACAGGTAAAGTGGTGTAGAATGACACTAGAGCTAATAAATTCACCTAGCATAGCACAGCGTAATACTGTGTTGGGCTCCAGCCTCAGGAGAATCTTTCCAGGCTAGAAAATTACCAGCATATGCCTTTTCATGTGTCAGAATCCTGCAAGGCGGCAATCTAGTTCAACCTGCGCAGGTCTGCATGGAGTCTGGTCAGGTTGCTTCAGTGTTACTATCTCCCTTTTTAAGCCCTGGACAGGTTGAGGATATGCTGGTTACCCATAGAGAACCAGCACTACTATCACAGAAAGCAAAGCTTTTCCATGATCCAGGCCAAGAACAGGAGGTTTGGTGCCACGTTAAAGCCAAGCAGCTGCCTGTCTCCTAATTTTAAAAGCTAATTCAACCACCTCTTTCCCTGGGCTCCTTTCTATAAAAGCTTGCCAGGGCACAGTCACTGAGATATAAAGTCTAGTTTTTGTCAATAGCTTGTTATTGTGCAAGTTACTTAGAAACTCCAGTAAAGATCTGTCTTTATATGGCTGGATAGTTGGAAGAGTGAACAGTGTTGGCAGAAAAATGGAGGCAAGCCATTAGAGTTTGAAATATCATCTGTTCATCAAAACAATCCCAGAAAGAGCATATAATATATATTCCTTTACTGTACCCACACCAAGAACCTACCGGCTCAGACACATTATAGCTTGACCTAAGCTCCTAAGCTTGAGCATTAGCAGCCTCTTAGCCATGCTTTTAGGAATGATGCTCTTCTGAACCTTGCAGTGAAAGGTTTATACTGGCATGTTTTACCTCACATATGTATCAGGCTAGAAGAATACACCCCACTAATTATCACAATTTGGTGGATATGTGGTAATTTGATATGTTGTTATTCAGCTATGCACGAGAGGCATCAGACATTAGGATACAAACTGACCTGCAAAGTTTGACAGGGGACTCGCAAAGTCTCCAGAAGTCAAAAATATGTGCAAATAGTGCTAGAAGCAAGGCCAAAGGCATAAGCTAATAGAGCGTGGAAGAAATGTCTACAGTGTGAGTGGAAAAAAAGCGATTTTGTATGTGGAGATATGTCCAGATAGAACTCAGCAAAGCACCATAATTAATGCATTATTCAAACAGATTGAGATTTGTCAAAATTACATTTTGCATAATCACTGCAAATGATTCTTAAGGGAAATGTGTATAAAATGGCATAATGTTCCATACTGTTTTCTGAACATCCACCCAGGACATGAACCCAGTTTTCTCCAATTACAACCCCTTTCTTTTCACTTTCTCTTTGCAGTATAATGATTATGTTCATTTTATTGAACCCTGTTTTAAGGGTATCCTGGTCCAAGCAGACAGAGATAACAGAGAGGTGAGTACCAGGCTCCTATCTGTGTTATTCACGTAGCTCCCTTAATGTAAGAAGTACAAGAGGTTAAGATGCTGTGACATGAATCTCCAGGGGGGAAACAACCATTTCCCAGAAACATGTGGGGTTGCATTTCAGAAACAAGCACCAGTTCAGTGGTGTGTGCTGGCTCTGTGGTTCACCTTTGCTTACACAAAGCCACTGTAACATGGGGTCAGCTGGCTAGCTAACCAGCAGCAACCAGCTTCCCTGTGTCACAAGGGATGCACCACCACTACTGCCAGAGCTTGGCTGGACCCAGCCCAGACTGCTGTGGAAGAACAGCTTGCAGAGGGAAAAGTGTCTCCACCTTTGAAACCCCACATCCTCAGCCCTCAAAAGAGAAAAATCAGCCCTTTTCTGGTGAATGTGTTCTCAACCTGGCCTGATCCTTTGCCAGGCTGGACTGCCAGCAAGCTTTCTCTGATGGGGGGGGTTTGTTGCTCTTATCCAGGAGGCCTCAGCCTGTACCCAGCTGCTCCATCGCCCTCTGGGCTGACTTGTATCTTCAGCATTTCTTACCGTTTGGTTTTCTTCAATTCCCTTATCTTTATACTAATACCTCAGATATATCACATCCTTCCATGTCTTCAACAACCTGATTTCTCTCCAGATTTCTTTCCCAGCTTACTCCTGAGTCTGAGTATGACTCCAGAGGGTGATGTTTCCTGCAGCATTTCCCAAAGGATCCCCAAGCATTTTGGATGCTATGTTGCAGACAGCACTCTCTGAGGGTTTCATTTACAGCCAGATCAATGCCTCTTAAGTAGTGGATGAGCACTGATTTATTTTTTCTTTTTTCTTTTTCCCCAGTCCTGTCGCTCTTGCATGCACAGGAATGTTTTGCTTTGTTTGTTTGTTTTCCTGAAGGGATAGGCAAAGGAAAGTCTGATTTCTAGCAGTTTTGTCCCTTGCATGATGTTTTATTGACCGCCCATAGTCTGCAGCACATAGACTGTGAAATGCAGTCCTGCTCTGGCTGCTTGGGCAATGGTGCAACATGATGGCACTGCCAGTGGAACCGTCACTTGACTTTCCCACCTCCACCCATCACAGTAGTGCACTGCACATCCAGCAGTGGTGAAGGATCAGGAGCCCAAAGCACAGGTTTTTCCACGTTACCCTTTCCTCCCTCTGCTGAAGGAAACACCCTGCCTGAAACTCATTGCTGCCTTTTTCACTCTCTTCTTGCCAGCACTTCAAGCAGCTGGTGGATGAACTGCAGGCAAAAGGAGTTGGCACTGTGAACAAGGCTTTGACAGAGTCCTTCAAAATACTGAGGGAGGTAAGAGTCAGTGCTGCTGCATGCATTGGGCACAAGTGTCCCTGCCCACCCCTACTTTCTCCTCTGCATCTCATGACTTAGCACATCCTTCACGGTGAGGCAGGGGGGCCGCTGGCATAAGCTGATCTCACAGTCCCTAACTTCGTGATGGGCAGTGTGCAGGGGTGACCCCGTAATTTGGAGGTGCCAGTTTGTGCGTGGTGCCTTGAGGCTGCCGATCTCTTCAAGGCTGTAGCCTCCTGAGTGCTTCCTTAATGAGCCACACAACTGGGCATTGCTCAGGCACCTTGGTTATAGATGGTGGCAATAAAATACAACTGATCAGCTGAGGGTGACAGTTCTAGTCATAAGTAATGTTATTACAATGTGAGCCTTGATAAGTAGATGATGATGAAGATGTGAAACGTTATTCTCAGGCTTCAGGTTTATTTCAGTGTCACTTTGAGTGTCAGTGCTTGGGGAAGAAATCACTGGTACAGAAGAATTAATCAGTCAGTCTGATCATGTCCTGTGATAAGAATTGTAAATGATTCATTGCCTTATGTGAACTATTGTGACTTCAGTAGTCTGGAGATAAACATAAAATTTAACTCTGTTTCTTAAGGAAGGTTAGCAAAAAAGGACAAAGAACCAGCTGAGCACCCCACCTCCTTGTAGCCCTGTGTATAGTGTGGTTGGCCTAAAGATGCCAGTGCCTTTGGGGCTGAGGAAAATACGTACACGCTATGATGCTAGTGGCCATAACGATGATATTGATGTTAAATGTAATGTGCTAGAGGTATTGACACCCTGGAAAGGATTCTCCAGTCTTACTTATTTTACAAATTGAAGGTTTAAGTTTGTTGTTGGGTATGGTAATTCTGTTCCTGATTTATGCCAGTGCAAGCATGATCAGAGTTGAACCCAGGGATGGTGGTGGGTGATGCTGATTTGCCAGTGGTTACAGAAGCATAATGGAATTAATGGCAACTTGAGAAGACTGTGGTGTAACTTTGGCATTGCAGTCATAGGCTGGCAGCACTCCTAGTAGTAATGCTTCAACATCTTTGGAGGAAGATACTTGAGATGACCAAAGAGGCAGTAATGATATAAACCTAGAACAACTGTATGGACTAGAGGCCTGCTAGATTTATCTACGTGTGGCTTTGAACTTTATGACAAAATTAACTTGAACTTTAAAAACAAAGATCCAGAGCCTGTATAGATATAAATCACAATATTTAAACAATTTTTCCAACAGAGGAAAGAATGATTTCTTAATATCTAACGTAGCACTTTGCAACTTCATCCCAGGATTTCCGTCTGCCTGATGACATTCAGAAGAGACAGAGGTGATGTCTCAGTGCACAAGCAGCATCATGCACATACATAGGCATGCAAGTACAGAACCATGTCTGCTGTCCTAGAACAGCCTTCCCCAAACATCAGCTTCCCTATTTAGGGACTCACCTAGAGAGTGTCTTGATACCACCAGCTGGAGGACTCGAGGCTCAGCAAGCATCACAACTTGAGTCAAAAGGGTATCACCTGCCAAGTGCTCTTATACTTCATGGACTCTCTGAAATCTTAGAGATTCTTAGTTCTGTATCAGTAATAGGAAAGGAAAATGGTTTCCATCAGTGTGCCCTGAAACATATCTGTGCTGCTGCATTCACGCAGACAGGAGAAAGGGGAATTTTGGCGGAATTGGCCACCCCCCTCCCGTCAGACAACATTCACATTCTAAGCTTGTAGTCATAGCTGTTACTCACAGACTGTCCTGTTATTGTCCACAGGAGCATACGCAAGGGAATGAAAATGAAAATTGCTACATCACACTGATGAAACAGGTTTTGCTGATTACAACAGACAACCAGTAATAATATCTGTAATGAAAGTGATTACAAAATTTCCCTGGTAATTTTCCTCAGTCCAATTGCTTGTAGAATTAATAGCCCAGTAGAGACCCACTCAGTGAGGTATGAGTAACAGAGGGGTTGCAGAAGAGCACAATCTCTCACTGTCTTTGTTTTCCTCTGTTCTGTTCTGGGGTAGACAGGATATATTTTAATCTGTGACGCAATCTGCAGAATAGCTTCAGGAGAATGGTTAGCCAGAGCCTCCTCTGCCCCTCTCAGCCATGCTCAATAAACCACTTAAACTCTCTATTTCAATCTAGCCACACACCAAGTGGTTTCAATAAAATCTGCGTGCCAGGGATACTGTGGTCTTAAGCATACGTTCATAAAGTGGTTCAAAGTTCTGTCAAGTGAGCTCCTTCCTTGTTTATCAAGTTTTAGTCTCTCTCACCACTGTCTTCTCCTCTCAACACACTTGGCACGTCTTGTCCTCTCACCCTTTTCTTGTAGGATTTATACCCCTTTGTTCTGGCCGCTGCTCTCCTCATGGCTGCTTCTAGGCTGCCTTCCCTGAAACACCATCCTCCCACCAGTATGTAAGTGCTGCAGCTGAGAGCTATCAAGTGCTAAGCAGAGCAGAATAATCACCTTCCTTGTTTTACACACCACAGTCCTCTTAACACAATGTAAGACAACAGCTATGTTTCTTCAGACACTGTCACATTGTTAATTCCTATACGGCTGATCCGCCTCTGCGGTATTCCTCTTCAGCCAGTATTCAGCCTCCTGTTCTGTATTCGAGCCTCTGACTATCCTTTCCAATGTACATCAATTGAAAAGATACTTATATATTTTTATAGGCATGCCAAAGATGTGCGTACATATATACATATGCAAACACAGCCCTATGTCAGAGAGTGATATAAATATATTCATATATTTGTTATATAAGAATAGAATTAGGATTAGATTATACGAAATCTGTGACTCTTATGGCTCCTCCTTTCTCAGGGTAATTCTCAGACTAAGTAGGTGTTTTGAAAGCTGATGGTTTCTGACCCAGTGGAGGAAAAGAAACCCCAAGTTTTGCTCTCTGAGGTCACCTTGGAATGGTGCCTCCTCTTAATTCCAAGCTGGTTTAATTTGTACCTTGAGTGGCAGTTGAACTCAGAAATAACATAGATTTTGAAGTTGTTTATGAGTAGGTCACTCAAAAAAGGCTATAGGTGAAAAAAAAACAAGTGGTAAAACTGGTAAAAAACTGGACTTCAGTGAGATGTATTATGTAACTTGAGCAAACTGGTGTCATGAAAAGAATGAGCCCATCTGCTGATGGGAGTAAGCGAAGGAGTTTGTGGCCTCTTAGCCCCTACCTGTGTGGGGAAGCATTTCATTTGCATGCTCACAAGAGGACCATGCTACTAACCTTTCTAGCAATGTGCTAAATGTTTAAGGACAATTTACCCACCTAGTTTATCCCCTTCTTGTAACACAAGTTTTCTATTCATTCCCACTTTGTCCTTTGGGATGTCAGTCCCGGTCAGGTCTCGGCTCACAAGGCAAGTAGTTCAGCAACACCTTCTGCAATTCTTTCCCTTCCTGCTGAGCAGAGATTATTCAAATGCTTTCAATTAACTTTTGCTTTAACCCTACCACTTTGTGACCCTGCCTGTAATTCATTAATTCTTTTCTTTGTTTCTTATCACTTCAGTGTGTGCACAGCCATTACAATATTGTCCTTTTGATGATGAAGTATGACAGCTATAAAGCATCTCTGCCTGACCATTTCCCTCTGTTGTTTATCATCTGGCAACATACTCCTTTTACTCCCTTTCTTGTTTCTTCTCTGAGCATTTGTAAATCTTTTCTTGATTCCACTTGCATTTTTACAGACTCGGATTCTGCAGCATAGTTTTCAGGACATGCAAAGCTCAGGATTTCCTGTTTACCAGTTTATGCCACTTTGCTTAATGCCATCTCTCATTTGTTCTTCACTAGCTTTCTGTTTTCTTCTCTTCAGCTAATTTTCTACCCATGAAACACTTTCCACTAAGCCTGAATTTTCAGTAATTCCAGAGGCCTCTCTGGAGGCAGGTCTGTGTAAGAATGGGGCAGAAGGAGACGAAGAGGGGCTGCTCCGTCATCCGGTCTGATGTGTATAATCCGCATGCATGCCTGTGCATCACTGAGCTATGCTGATGTTCTTATTGCTTCACTAGTAACTTTTGTGCCTGGCTATAACTGCAAAGTAAATGACAGTGAGCAAACAAGGGAGTATAAGAGACTCTGACTGTGAATTAATGAGATCATGCCTGCTACTCCTGGTAGTACAACCAAAGTTATATGGGAGAATACAGAGCTTCAGCTCTTATTTGCCGACTGCAGCTCTAGCCCACACCTATTCAGGCACCTGTTCTGCAGACATCTTGTTCCCATTCTCCCCTTCCTTCATGCTCCTGAGATTTCAGTCAGAGTAGGAAATTATGCTCAGAGCCTGATGTGAATGCTGTCAGATCATTTGCTACAGCTGCAGCCAGCCACAAAAGGACCTAAAAGCCAGGGATTACCTCTTGTTCATTTGTTTTCTAAATCTGTCTTTTTAATCTGTATTTCTATGACACTGATGATCTCATTTTCCCTGTTGAAAATACCATCTACTCCTGTAATTAGGAGATTGCTGGTTCTGATACAGCATCTAATTTCTCAGTATCTGAGTATTATGAGGTCTGAAGTAAGCTACATGAAGAGAGATCTTAAGTAGTTTGAAATGGCGGATGACCTTAATTAAGTGTTAATTTAACAATTGTCTAAATAATATACATTGTAGATTGCAACAGACTGGAATAAGCTGCTTTTGTAACTACAAGGTTCACAGATCTGTGATCTAAACCTCATTCTGACAGCATCTCCTGCACCATCATAACCCTATGCCTCCTTAACGGGTGCTCACACTAGCCCCGTTCTCTGGTAATCTGCACGTAATGGATTTCTGTCCTAGAAACAACTCACTTGAGACTCCTTGTCTTTTTCCTACCTGATGATCTGCAGCAGAATCCTATGCAGCTATCAACTGCTTTTCCCCTTTTGTTTCCACCTAAGCACATCCTATGTTTGTTCCTGTTGTTCATCCTCAGCCTTTGCCTTGAGTCTCCTTGCTGAAGGGGGGAGACACATGTTCTGACTCACTCGGGAGCTTCAGTTACCCTCTAGCTGGCAGTGACAGGCTTTTTTTATAGAACAAGGTGTAGAAGCTTTTTGGATGACTGGAAATGTCAGATCTTAGGGACTCTGTAAGGAAAGATATGGGAGATCCCTACTGTTGGGTTGGCATGACCACAGCAACAGAGGTACACTCTGTTTCCCCTCTCAGTGTGCTGCTGTGGTGTCACAAAAGATGCAGAGCATGTCCAACTACCTCATCCTGATTCAGGAATTCACACAGATGTTTTGCTTGAGAGCAGCTAGTTAGGAATGACCTTATTACACCACCTTTCTCTTTCATGATCACTTGTACCTATTCTGGTCAGTGATACATGAAACAGGGAGAAATGGGTTCACACATGTGGTCATTCAGAAGCTGTTGAATCCATACGTACTGCAGTAGAGTAACAGGTACTTCAGTGATGTTAAGAGTAATGTTGAAGGAGGCAAGACTGATAACATAAATAGCGGTGAAAGGAGACATTATGGTAATATTAGCACCAGGTATCCATGGTCATGATGTTAATCTACAGCGGAACCACAGTACCATCTGTGTTAGTAAAGACATTTGCTTTCTGTCCTAACAAAGTATTACCACACCAGAAGGGACTTGTTAATTGAACCTTAAAACATCTATAAAGTCTCAGTTTGCATCCTGTGCTCCTGTCCTCCTACTCAGTGCTTGCTTTCATTTTATGTAATTAGTCTCGCCACTTGGATACCTTTCTCCTCATTTATAAGATATAACTACCCTCTCCAGTTTAAAATTGCTGCTGTGTTTGATATAACATTAGTCACCCTTCAGTTAGTCTTCCATATGCTCTCTATCTCATGCCATTGCCTCTCATTAATCTTGTGTGCAGAGCTGTTGTATCTTGCTCTTTCCATATTTTTTTTACTCTGCATCAGTTTTTGTATCCTTTGCCGATTAGACTTTTCCATGCTCAGAAGCAGTGAGATGCTCTGCAGGGAGAAGCGCAGGCTGACACTGAGCTAAGAGCCGCAGCAAAGTGGCTGTGTGTTTTTGTGCTTTCATGGCCTCTGCTACCTCCTCTGGTGACTTCTAATTCAGTACCTGTGCTGGTGCTGCGTAAGGCACTTGTGCTCTTAGGTACACCGGCTCTAGAGAACCAAGAGGCAAATGGCTCTTCAGGCAGGCGCAGGAGATAAGCAGCACTTGAAGGCTGCTTTTCCTGGCTAAACAGGCAGGGTCTGGCTTTTTCAGTGCCCATTCAACACCTCTTAATGTGTTCTTGGGAGCGCATGAACGTTTATACCAAAGTCCCAGAATACCTCCACTCTACCTTAAATATCACTTATGCACAGATAACAGGTCATCTGTCATTAGAGTGTATGGCCTTTTTATCTGGCACATTAATAACCTATTTCAGCCCTGATGGCAGTAATGCTCTTTTTTTTTCACATGCTCCTGCCTTTCTCTGCTGTTTTTTGGCAGATTGATGGATTTGCCCTGAAATAATGAGTCTGATTTCCTCCTCCTGTCATGCTTTCTGCCATAAAAAGTGACAGTTATTGCTGTCAAATCAGAATTGCAGTGTTTATGGTCAGCCTATAGTTGTTTGCATAAACGAATGTGACTGTAAGATGTGAGGCAGCAGGGAATCGCACCCTTCCGCCACAGGACTTACTTCCTCATTATTTTACTTCTGTAGAGTCTCCTCTGTCTTCTTGTGCTAGGTAGGGCTGTATAAATAAAACAATTATATGCAGCATACAAACACGGTCTTTATTTAAGCACAGCGTTAGGTTTACAAGGGAAGGTCAGGATCTGGCTCACCATGAACAAATACGCTGCAGTTACACATAAACAGCCCATGCTGAGGTAACTAATGCTCTTCCTCTCTGTTTGCAGTTCAGAGAGGCTGGTCAAGGAGGCTTGTGTAACCAAGCTATCATGCTGATTACAGACGGAGCAGTGGAGGATTATGAAGCTGTGTTTGAAAAGTACAACTGGCCAGATCGGAAGGTTTGTCTGGGAAGTGCTAAATGGAAAGGGCAAGGAAAGGTGCTATCCTGCTACGGTGGGAATGGAAGAGCGTGAGCCAGGATGTCAGGCAGGGCTGAGCATTCACATCCTTTGATACCCACATGCATCCAGCTGTAAACACAAAGCAAAGCAGCCAGGCAGGAGCCTGCTGCGGCGGTTTTAGAGGTGGTAGGATCACAAATGGGTAGCTGTAGGTCAGTGAAGATTTATTATATTTTCATACACTTTGATTTCTAAAGGTGTGACAATCAAAACATTCTCCTGATAAAATGGTAAAGACTAAGCTGAGTACTTCAAAATAATTTGGAAAGAAGAAAAGGTATTTTAATCCCATCCAAGACTGTTTATAATTGATGCTGTTTGGGAAAGGTTTAGCTATTACCAGTTCTTACGATATGCAAAAGAATGGCCCAGGCAAAATCTCTACATGTCTTCCAGCCCTATTTACTTTGGGGCCTATGATTACAGGCTTGTACTAGCAAAGCAGACTGTGAAAGAAGAATAAAGCAGGGTTCCTCCTAAACCCTCATGATTTATTTGCTTACCTCATCCCAGACAGCAGCAATGCGCAAAGGGAGAGAAGCAGCCCAGTGAGAGACCAGAGCGCGCGGCTGTTAAAGCAGTTTATTTCAGGATTGGCTCTTTTGTTGCTGGTCAAACACAGGAGAAATGGTGAAGCTTTCTCTAAATGATTCATGCAGCCAGCTGTTCCCCTGTGTAAAGGATTCCTGTGAGCTATAAACCTCTCTGCATGTGGTTGCTGAGTGCCTGGCAGAGCTGCTATCATAAAATCAAACAGAATTCGCACTTCTGCCTTGTTATTCAAATGACCTTGGGTGCTACTTGGCTTTCTGGGCTTATTGTAAATGGAAATCAAGTTCCAGCCCACAAAATGCAAAGCAAATAGAGCAAGAGGCTCCTGTCTCTGTGTGAAGGCAGAGCTATTGCTATGCACCACAAACAAGCATTCACACTAGTGCATAGCAGGATGCTAAACCTCAGCCATTTGGGTTTGTTAGCACATTGCAGCCTAATTCTTCTATCTTTGCATTCTTGTTCCCAGGTCCGGGTTTTCACTTACCTCATTGGACGGGAGGTCACTTTTGCCCCCAACGTGAAATGGATCGCCTGCAACAACAAAGGTGCTGTATGGGAACAGTTCCCTGTCCCCATCACATGTACCATGTATGGACTGCAGCCACAGCGCCCTGGACTCCTATACAGTTCAGCCACTACAGCCTGGGGCCCAGGAACCCTTGGCTGGAAAGCAACCTAAGGAAAAAACAACCCTGCTAGTCCATGTTCAGAGTGACTGTGTCCAACTAACACAAGCCCTCCGTGCTGAGCCACCACATTTTCCTGTTACGGTGCCAGGGGACACTATGACCAAGATTCATGCTGGCTGTAGTCCATCTAAGTCCCTGTGCTTATTGTGTCCCACTTGCTGGCTTTTGACAATCTGTCTAAAACTCTGTCAGAAAGCCTGTGACATCTTTTGGCTGAGATACAAAACTAATATCTCTTCTTTAAAGATTTAACAGCATTTTTCATGAGGTCTGCAGGTTAACCCCTATATACTGGCCAAATTTTTTGTGTGCCGGTGGTTTCACTGAGGTACCAGAATAGCTTGTTAATCCCACCACAAACCCAATATTCTGAATACGGCATGAATGGGAAAATCCATTCAGAGTAAGTGAGTCACCTCTATACATTTGGGGCCAGTTAAAAAGTCCAGTTAGCCTTAACAGGCTCTGCAAGGGTAAAAGAAGAGACGGGGGAAAAAGAAAAGCTGTTTGGGCATGACTTGGCCTCAGCCTGCATGGAGACAGTCAGAAATGCTTGCTACACCAGTATCCTGCTTAAACAGGGAAAGGAAGGGAAGATTGAAGCTGGGGGCTGACTAGCTAGGTATATTGACTCTTTTCCTGTCTGAGCAGTGGTTCCAGCAGACTATGAAATGCATGGGTGCATTTGCTACTGAAAATAATCGACAGACAAGAGTTGCTAACCTGCAGAATGTCTGTGAGCTGGAGACATCCAAGGCTCAAATGTTTGTCTATTAGCGCTCTGAATCACATGTAACACTCTTAGTTTTTGATATATGCAACAAAAACCTAGATTTCAGTTTGCATGATCAGACCTAGGATTAGTGACAGGGAATTCACTGCGCTGTTGGTTCACCATAAAATGTGAGAATGTATTCTCCTGAATAACCAGAAAACAAAAATGTGCTCTTTGCACTTGAATTCTCACCAGACTTGAGCTCTGCACAAGGCTCACTGATTTTGGTTCTTCTCTTTCAGTACATTGTATAGCTCTTGTAGTCCTTGTTTTCAAGCACACTAAATCTGTTCCCACATCACAAAGCTTATCAGATCATGAGCCTTTTCACATGGTAGTGTTTTCCATCTATCAGACATACTCTGTCCCATGCCAAGCACAACCAATCCATTCCACGTGGTGAGAAGCAAGAATCGTGACATTACACTGTGTTAACATTTCTAACCCGTTAAGCAGATAGATAGTTTTAAGCACCTTTTGATAACTTGAAAACCTTCCTCCCCTGTACTCCTTGCTGTAGACTGGCATGGGTCCATCTGCAGGGGCAGAGGAAAATAGGTAACTTGCACTTTTAGGTTCTGCTTCCAATGGGTAGATGCAAGTAGTCACTATCCTTGGATGTAAAGCTAGGCAGACTGAAGAGTAGTGTGCTGGAAAACGTCTGGAAGGTAAGTTGGGAGTTTGGGCTTAGTATAAAAATTGGGCAGGGTAAGTGGGTAGCCTGGTGGAATACTTTGTTTGCATATGTCTGGCCTTCAGGAACAAAGGCAGCCTGATTACTGGTGGTTGGTTTTTTTTTTACTTAGGATTTTCCTAAGACCCAAAGCAACATTTTACATCTATTTGGCATGATATCCAGACTCCGGTCTTGTGCATTGGTCTGGTATTTTGAGAAGAACAGAGCCAATCCTTTGAAACTCTAGATTTCCACAGAAACATGTGTCCATAGAAGCTTGTGGATACGAGGCATGTCAAGGCACTTTCTGTAAAGAGCAGATAATAGCCATCTGGGTATATAGTCTTTGACATCTAGTTTTCTAGCTTTGCACAGACTCTCACTTAAAATACTGAAGACATGTGAGCAGCGTGACTCACACCTCTGTTTCTCCATGAAGGCTACTACACTCAGATCTCCACGCTGGCAGATGTCCAGGAGAACGTGATGGAATACCTGCATGTCCTCAGCCGCCCCATGGTCATCAACCACGACCATGACATTATTTGGACTGAAGCCTACATGGACAGCGCGGTAAGGACTTGCAGCACAAGTCTTTAAGTCAACAAACAGTAGGGCCTATGGGCCAAACTGGCAAAGGCATAAGACACCCAGCTAGTACGTTAAGCATATAACTTGTCCCAGATTCCCATCTAAATATCTTACGTGTATCAGAATCTAAATAAGTCCTGAAATTTATGTAAAACCAGAAGTTGGTTGATTGGTAGAAATTACTGGGCTCTGGCACTGCTGAGACAGTATTTCTTTTCTGCTCAGTGCTGGAGTTGAGATGTGTATGCAGACTCAGATCTGAGTCTGCAGATACCAGGGAGCCCAGGACTAATCACAGGTACAGCATGATTTAAGTAGTGTTTGCGTGTAAGCAGGTTGCCTTCTAAGGGATTATTCACAGGAAAGATTTACAGCTCAGGATATGGGTCACAGAGACTTATTTCCTCCAGCCCAGTAGCTAAATGTATACTGGTTGCCACTAAAAGGTACAGATCTTAGTTTGGGAAGCAGGCTCACTCTTCACTTCCTTGAGCTAGCAGGTCCTAATATCACTGCAGTGGCCCTATACTCAGCCCTGTGGGTAAAGGACGCGTGGCAAAGGACCAGACAGTCAGCACTCCCAATACCCATTGCTTTGTCTCAGGCCTCCATATGTGAAGACATTTGGACCATGAGCAAGTGCTATTATAGTGTTGTGTTGCCAAGGCAGCTTGAAAATTTAAAGGAGTGAAGGGAAGGACAAAAGAGTAAACCTTCACTGAAGGAGCCTTCCCCTGCACTTCCCCAGATAGAAGATGTTCCTCAACCTCTGTCTCCATGCCTTTTTACATTGCCAAAGTTATAATTCTTATTTTGTGGCTGTGCATCCCCCACCTCTGTGCTGTGGCTGACCACTGAGGCTGCAGCCATGGCCCATTAGCTCAGTGAGGATGACATGGGAATGTCTCCTGCTGCAGAAGCTGTGCCAAGTGAGAGCTGAGGACATGGTTCTTGAGTGTGCAAAGCAAAACCTCCAGAAATGCTGCTAAACCCAGCAAGTTTATTTTATCAGCAGGCATGCCACCCCTGGCACCAGTGTGTGGTGTCACACTTCCCAAGGGAGCCACAGGGACTTGTTTGTTGTGTTTCTTTTCTTGCTGCATCTCTTCTCTTGCTGCTTGTTTTGCTATTTTATTCCTCTGCCCCAGCCTCTCCCATCCTTGGTTCACCCCTACATTCATGTATTCATTCATCTGTTCGTCCGTGTCTCTCACTAGCTGCCACAGTCTGAGGAGGTAACTGCACCCCTGTGTTTTGTGAGCGTGCCGTTTCCCTCGTGCCAGTTGGTGTGTCAGTGCCAGTGCTCACAGCCACAGCTGGCCTGTACATCTGGAGGGGGGTGGGGGCTGCAGCACTGGAGGAGTCCTCTTACACTCACAAGAAGAGGAGAGGAAATGATGGATGTACTGGAGAGCTGTGCTTGCGCTGTTGGTTCAGAGTAGGTAGGGGTGTCCGTGTTGTGCAGTAGCTTAGTTCAATGTATCTCTTTCTCCATATATCCACTAAGTGCTGGAGAAGTTTACTTGCTGTGTGTTAGTGCGAGTGTTGCTGTGAATGGAAAGTTTTCACAAAGAATAATCTAGACCAGTAATTCAAGATACCAAGCTCAAGTCTCCTTCACGTGACTTTATAGATTATTGACTCACTCTGTTATGGTTCCTAGCATGTATAATAATGGAGACAGAAAGTAATTTCTTGCCTTACTACTTACCTGACCAAGTAAGAGATGAAAGGGAGGTGCTACTGGCTTTGAGCAATTAAGTTCTTTTGATAGCTAGGCATGTTTGGGAGATTTCTTCACATGTGTCTTGCCCTTTTTCCTCCTTTCATGTGTGCTTTTAGAGAATCTGTCTTCTGCAGAACTGAGAGTATCTGTTCCCCATTACATGTCCATGTCCTGTATTCCCTGTAGAGATAGCTCACCATGATCTGTTTGAATCATGATTTGTCTCTGTTTTTCCTAAGCTTAGATGGTTAAGTAACAAGTATATATAAGCAGGCCCTGTGTGTATTTGTGCCCTTTAAATATTTGCCTTTGGTGTTTCTCATTTGTGGTATTTATGTGTCTGCAATATAGATGACATCTTGTTTGTGATTTTGCTCATATTTGTGTTGCTTTTTTCTATCTTGTACTCCTTGTTTTGGTGGTTTTCACACTTGTTGTATAAGTGCTCATGTCTACACTCCCAATGTGTGGTGGGTATAAATTGTGCCACCACTTCTGCAGGTTTTTGTAGCAGCTCTTTAATTTTTCTTGCTTCAACACACTTCATTGGCATTCATCCCATCATTATTACCCCTCATGAGCAAGCATCCATCTCACGATCCTCTTGGATACAGAGTATTGAGAAGTGCTGTCATCTGTTTTTAGAGGGCTGTGGGAGGCAAGGAGATGGCTACTTGTAATCAGCATCAGGGGTCTTTGGGAATTCCAGTGCCTTTCGTTCAGGTTATCTGTGGTACTGCATTTGCTAACACGTGGCTCGTTCTTCTGTGGCAGCTCTTTGCATCTCAGGCTCAAAGTCTGTTGCTCATGACAACAGTGGCTATGCCAGTCTTCAGCAAAAAGAACGAGACGGTGAGTGCAACACAGGCTTCCCTCTCCTTCAGCCAGCAAAGGTGAAAAGGGTACAGCAGACCTTTGTAAGGTTTTAAAGCCAATGGGTCTCTGAAAGAACAGCCAGCCATTACAGACTGCGGTAGACCTCTGGCAGAAAGGGCAGCTGACAATTTATCTGACAAAATTGATAGTTGGAATACTGTCTTTTCAAAATACCCCTTGAACATTATATTTCCCCTGTTTTATCCCTTCCATTTTCAGACTGAGCCTCGTTCACAAACCTATAAGGTTTCAGGCTGGAAGAGATCATTGCCTTGCCTAGTCTGTGCTTTTTACTGCAGACCTTTACGTTTCATATGGATGGTTTTTCATGAGCCGAATAACCTGTGTTTGGCAAAAGCATCATTGAAGAAAGGCATCCAGCCCTGACCTCTTTATTGTGGTTTCTCACTCTGCAATAAAAACTGGTGTCTAAATTCCACTTCCAATTTGTCTGGTCTCACCTTCCTGCCATAATGACTTTCTCAGCAGATTAAAAAGCCTGTGTCCTTCTGTATCTTCTCCTGGCCCTAAAAACAATTGCCCGCCTTCACCACCTGAGGCTGGCCTTAACCTGTAGCAGCACAGTGCTGCAGTGAGAGATCCTGTGTGTCATTTTCTCTGAAATGTGTTCTCTGAACACTTATTAAACAACCAGTTCTCCATTTAGGGGTCATTCCTTTTTCCTAGGTTAACATTTGGCATTTGGTTTAATCAACCCAAGCTATCAACCAATCCATGTTGTTTTGCGTGACTGCCTTGTCGTTACTGTATATTTACATATACTGAAACTGAGGGGGTTTCCCTCAAAACTTGTTTTCAGTGATTTTATGCTACTTCTGAGCCATAGTTAAAGATGCTGACTAGTGCTGGGTAGAAATACTCCTTTTCATAAAAACTGGAGCAAGCTCTTTAGACTTTTTTAAAGTATGCTAGCTGGTTTTCAATTAACATATTCACACAGGCCTGAAGAGGATACAGAAGAGACTCATAGGAACACAATAATGTGTATTCAGGTAGAAAACTACCCAGGTCTTGCTTCTGAAAACGGATTCTCCTTTGTTTTTTAAGCGATCTCATGGCATTCTCCTTGGTGTGGTGGGCTCCGATGTACCACTGAGGGAGTTGTTAAAACTTGCTCCACGGTATAAGGTAAGACTGAGATAAAAGGATTTACTGTTTTGCACAGCAAAGTCACCAGTCATTCTTCCAAGGGCATGACTGAGAAATCATTCCTCTGCCTGTAGGAAGAACTATAAGTGTGAAGCAAGAGATGCTGGATGTGGTGATGTGTTATTTCTATATAGCACATGGGAAATCATTCACTATTAGAAGCTCTTGTGCTGCTTCAGAAACACAAGTCCCAGATGATCCAGTAGATTGGTAACACATCATGGGGTGTTTGCATCTTGATGGTCACTAACCTAGATCCCTTGGAGTTGATATAGATCTGACAGCCTACCTCAGAAGAATCAGTTTTATATCCAGTTCTCAGTGCACAAAAGCTGCAACACCAGCTGGCAAGAATTAAACTAGTTTCACTTAGCAGAAAAACTGAGGACTGAATGGACTGCAGAGAGCCAAATTTTCTGCCATGCCCAGAGGTTCCTTTCTCCAGATCAGCGTGAAGATTTCTTGGCAGGAGAGTGCACAGGAAGTTGGCTCTCATTCACTTGTGCTGTACCTAAATAAAGTATTTGCTCTCCAGAATTGTTAGTCCAACAACTTTCCATTAGTAATATGTTCAGTATAGGTAAAAATAGTACATTCATCCATAGGAGCCCTTCTCCCCCATGCACACACCCCAAGATGCAGTTTAGTTTGGTTTCTGCTGTAATGTCTGTGCAGTGACCTTTTGTTCAATCAGTCTGCACACCAGGAGGCAGCAAAGCACATCTGAGGACCACCATGAAATCAGGTGATTTGAGCCGTCATTTCCAGTTTTCAGTTTCTCTCTAGTACCTATCAGACAACTACCACCAGTTAGGCAGTTGTCCAAAATATAACTGCTGAAGACTCACAGAACTGAAAACGCTGTCAGAGGCCATGAATCTGTGTGGTGCTTGCAGACATGGATGCAGGGCAGACCATTCATTTGCAGCTATAGGAAACAATCCTTCAGGCAACCCAGGAACTAAGTGGTGTGGTGCATACATTCAGCACCAAAAGCTAGCTGGTTTGGGTCTAAGGAAACCTTATCTATGAGTTTCAATTTTTATCGATGTTTATTTTCTCTGTAAAACCACCTGCTCCCACCATGTCACTCAAACGCTATATGTCACAAAAATCTTTCTTCTGGGACTAGGAAGGACACTGTTCTTTCCTCCAAGAAGTGGCAAGGAAGGAGGGAAAATCATCTGAAAGATGTCCTTACATTAGAGGCAGGAAGCGACTTCCCAGAACCTCTTTCAACTCCAGACCAGTTTGGAAACCTAGGATCCTCAACTTAAGCCCCTGGCATATGAATTACAAAGGACCAGCTCCAAAGTTACAGCCCTTGAGAGATTGTGCATTTATGATGGTGCTTACTGGGCTGGGAAATTCCAGCTTTAACAGGCCAACAAGGAAGTTTGCTGTAGTCCTGATTCAATGCCTTGGTTTCACTCCTGCCATGCTGAGCTGAGCTCCGTGTGCTCTGCAAAAACCGTTTCAAGTAGGTAGAGTCCAAAGTTTTGATCTGGGATGTGTGAAACACAGAATTCTTTCCCTCCAAAAGAGCACAGACGAATTTTAAATGACTTGCCTCCCCACTTCCCAACTCTTATCCCTGCAGGATCATCTGTATAGGAATATAAATTTGCAACATTTTTTTTAAGACAGAAACCTTAGCCATTCTTGTTTTCCTTGAGGCACCTCTTGTTTTGGCAAGCACAGGCTATCAGCAGGATTTTAGCCACCTGGGGTTTAGCTGGAATTTGTATTATATATGGGCTTGATCTGGGTAATTGCTCTCTCAAAATCTCTTCCAGATCAGGTAAACCAGTGCCTGCTCTTGTTAGTTTGTGCTATTTCTTAAAACGCATTTTAAAACTACAGGGTTGTACAATTGGCCTGGGCCGGGTCTGATCTTGCCAATACTGAAACAAAGCTCTTCTGAAGACTGACTGGGTTTCCAGGGAAGCCATCTGTGAGATTAATACTCACTTGATCACTAACTGCTCTGCATAGGTAGTGACTGGCATACAGACCTGTCACCACTGTTTCTGTACTGTTTACAACATTCCCCATCCTTGCCCATTTTATGTGCAGCACTGCTGTGCCTGCTGTGGAGAGCTTATTCTGCCCCTGTATGGCAATTGTCCATGAGCACAATCATACTCTAGGAGGGCATCTTTTTCTGAATGCGTATGCAAATCAGCTACCTGCCCATCCTTTTCTTCATCCCATCATAGTCAGCCTGCTCAGACAGAGCAGCCAGAGACCTGGAGATAAATGGTTTGGGATGGACCCTGTTTTCTGCCACTCAATGCCTTAAAAAAGGGAAATACTTCTGAATACTTGTGGTGCCAGGGTGTCAGTGGCACCCGTTACACAGCAGTGTTTATAGGTAAAACACTAATTATTCTAACGCCTCTTTCTCCAGCTGGGTGTCCATGGATACGCCTTTCTGAACACCAACAACGGGTACATCCTTTCACATCCAGACCTCCGTCCTTTGGTATGTATAGCTGTGAATTTGAGAACCTTTGCTTACTTGGAAACAGCAGCTTTTAGGGATGCTCCTGATTTCTCATATTTTACTGAGCTGTGGAGGCTACCAGGCTCTGATATATAGGCACCCAGGAGCATGAGGGCCAGAGAAATCAATTCCACATACAAAGATATGTATTTGGACAGACGTGTATGAAGTGTAAAGTACCCTGCTTGTCTGTTCTCCTAAATGTGAGAGTTGTATTTGTGTGTGCTTGCTGCACTGTGAGTGGACATGTATCTGCATCAACACAAGGTTTCACTGCTGGGCATATCTCCTACAAGAAGATTTAGCACAAGTAGCACCCTAGTAATAGCTACCCAACAGCTGTAGTGTGGACAGTCTGGGAATCTGAGGATAGCAGGGTCCACAGATCTTAGGGCCATGGTAAGTCAGATACAATTGAGAGACCAGTAGGCTGCAAAGACCCTTTGGGACTTGAGAGAGCAGACACAAGGACAGCATTTCTCCCTCGCGGTGCCACCTGGAGCTCCAGGCTGCACATCTGTCTGCAAGTACACAGCTGCCCCCATTACTCAGATACCCAAGCATGCAATGATTTCACATTTCATATACATGCCTGTCACCGCAAATCCACCTGCATGCAGCTATAAGCTTCCTCTTGGCTTGGCGGATTCATGGTAGCTATCTTCAAAAAGGAAGCTTTGCGCAGGGAGACCACAGGCACCAGTAGTTACTTCAATATCTGAAGGGACACATAGTGTTTTCAGGATGGGGCAAGGCATGGGCACTGCTTTATCCTCCACGTGAAACTGGACTCTCTTAGTCTGCTTCACATCTCTTCCTTCTCCTAGATTACAGAGAAATAGCTCTCGTGCATGTGTTAGCCCTAGGTGAAAAGCCTACCTTTGTGTCAGTGGAGTCAAAGCCTAATTCCCATCAGAAAAGATCTCCTGCTGGTTATTATTAGTGTTAATGGGATTGCACGCTAAGTTGTACGGGGAAAAAAAATATTCCCTGGAGGAAAGTGTATTGTGCTGATCTATTTAGAAGAATATTCTCACAAAGGGTCTGCCTTTACCTCCAAGTTTACCTGTGTTCCTGACTGCCCCTTGCTCCTGGATCAGCCTCTCCCACTTCAACTCTTCTACCCCTCCAGCGCCCACATAAAGAAGTACGTGGCATGGGACCAAGAAGGCACTCGCACCCAAAAGCTGCCTTCCTAGTCAGAGAACAAATGAAACCCCTCTGTTTTTCAATTTACATCTCAATTCTTTAAAGGTTAGTTTAAAAACTTACCTAGACTCTTACTTGATTTGTTGTTTTTTTTTTTCTTTTTTTAATGAACACCAGTATAAAGAAGGAAAGAAACTGAAGCCTAAGCCAAACTACAACAGCGTAGATCTTTCAGAAGTGGAATGGGAAGACCGTGATGAAATAGTGAGTACCAGAAAGAGAATTTAGCCTGCTTTTGCAGCTCCTTCTTTCTGTTACTTTGGGTGCCTGTATGGAAGGAGCAGGGGAACAGCAGGCACTCATGTTTTTTTCCGTGCCTAACTGGCTCCTGCTACAAAGGGACACAGATGATGTTCCTCTACAAAGTGCCTGTCTTCCTTCCCAGTATGAGCTTTCCTTCTCATGGATCAGGGAGGGAAAGCACTGGCAGGAGGAAGGAAGCACTTTGCAGGGGCATACATACACTGTTCCAAGGAGCCAGTCTATATATGGCCCAAATGCTGCCTTCATGTAAAGCCAAGGTAATTTAGGAGTATGGCAGTGTCCTATGATGTTACCCAACATGTAGTATGTGAGATATAGAGGAAGCCACTCAAGTAATGAGATCTGCAACAAGGAAAAAAGGACATTCAGAAAAAGACTAAAGCTGGTAGCCATTGCTACCAATAGACAAAGAGGATAAGGGACTTAAGACACTTGAGGAGAACCAGTTTCTATTGCACAGGTGTAGATGCACTGAAAACAGTAGCTGACCAGAGGGAAAAGATCAGAAAATACCATTTTTACTGTCTTTTAAGCAAAATTGTTTAAAAGGGATAAACATGAAACAGCAATCACCTTAACAGCTGCACATTGCCACATATAATGAGAAGGTAGATCGGTTCCTCTGTGGCTGGTTTTCTTTTACTCAGAAGAATTAGGAGAGAATAGATATTAAGTTGCTAAGATAAGAACTGAATTTGGAGTAAGACAGAATTAGCTGTGAGTCACATGCTTCTGGATTACAGGGGAAACTTCCAAGATAAACGGATCTGATGCTATAGATACCCACTTAAACAGTTAGGACAAATGAACCGCCCTGCAAGAGGATCAAAGTAGCTACTGCCTCTAGTGCAGGCCAAGTACGAAGGGTCTCAGCAGCAGAACTTGGGAAGTGGGAGAGTGGCAAACTAAGAAAGGAAAGAGTGGAACTGGGTGTGAAACATGGAAAGCAAGATAAAAATAAGAAGCTTCATGTGCAGTGGAACCACCAAGATGCAGGTTGTCAATGGGTTTGTGTGGCTTCACTGTTATCTTCGAAGCTCTGCTCCCACTGTAGTTATCTCTCTTACTCGAGCAGTTTCTGGAGCTGCACTTCTTTACAGTTTGCTATTTTACACATACACGAAAATAATAATCCAGGGAACTGGAGAAGTTTGCTGTCATATTCATTTGGCTATCAGGTTCCTGTCTGACCAAGTAACACTGATACCTGATGCAAATATGATGCAAAGTGTCAGGTTTTTGTCTGTAGGCAATCAGAGTAAAACTATCCAATGGAAAAAAAGTCACGAGAGGCATGAAAAACAAAGCCACTTTGTGTTCCTGTACTGCCTAACCCTTTCCAGCAGAAAGGTTGTGCAGTCTCTGAGGGTACACAGACATTCAGTGACGCAAACGGTATCTGCAGTGTGACTTCAGCAAGTCTAGAGACTCTCAAGATACACCCACTGCAGCAGAGAGCTGCCAACATTTCAACACCCATATTTGCAGCTATGGTATTAGATCAATGACAGACTCAACATCAGTTGCAGTATAATCTCGGCAGCACTGATAAGCAACATATTCAGACTGGAAAAATATGCACAAGTGCTAATGATGTGTAATACAGACCAGCTGCTAAACAGAAATGTAGGAGAGGGAAGATGGCACTGTCTGGAAAATACCAATTGATGCACAACAGCTCTAGTTTGGGCTTGCTTGTATAACAACACAGTGTTCCCCTCAGTGTGAGGGGGAAAGGGAAGAATCAAGAGATCCTCACAGCAGTCTAGAAGCTGTCACCCAAACAGCTTTTCTTCAGTTTTTACAGAACCACTGAAGAAGAAGTTAGTTTGGAAAGATGTTGAAACCGAGTGGCAAAACACATAGATATTGTGAGAACCTCTCAGTTAAACTGTATGTCTGTGCTGGTTTGAAGCCACACAAGCAGACCGGGGAAAGGAGTCTGAAGAACTCATTACCAGTGATGGGCACAGCAGAGACTCATTGCCGTGGAGCAGGAGAGTTTGCTGTTTGGAGTGTCAGGAATGAGTGCTTCAGCATCCACCAGAGCTCCTCTGCATCCAAACTCTGCTACACACTTTTCCAAGTAGGGTACAGCTGCTGCCAGAAGTGTCCTACCTGAAAAGGACTGAGCATTATGGGTGCTTACAGACATCAGGATTGTAATTGACTTCTCACTCCTGGAAAAGCTGATGAGGAAGACATAGCAAGCCTGGACTGTGGCACCAATCTACAGCTACTGTCATCTGGGGGCTGCTCACAAGACCAGGAGCCTGCCTGCAGAGTAGCTGGAGCTGAGGAGATCCAGGGAGATCTCAGATAGCCACTCATTTACTCTCCCACTGCCTTACAGGGGAAAAATGCCTAATATTCAAGAAGATATGGATGAAACCAATATCTGGACTAAACCCAAAACCCATAGCAAATGCTGCAGGCTGTCAGACCTGAACAGAGAGTATGCTGTGGCTCTGGCAGGAGGTCAAACACTCTTAGCCAGAAAGGAGTAATAGTACCAGTCAGTGTTTTAATTTCCAAGACATGGGCCTTGGGGAACACAAGCTTTATATTCTAGGTCCGTAAATAACCCACATCAAACAGCCATAATAAACAAAACTGTGGCCTTGTAAAGCAAATGCAGTTGAGACTGGCTAGCACCTGAATGGAGGCCTGTCTCTGGAAGTAAGGAAGCAATTTGTGTGAATGAATAAGTTACTTCCCACCTTTTTTTCTACCCAGGCTGAAGCAGTAGGTTGATATGCTCTGGCAGGCTAGACCTGAAGTTAAAGCCTCTGCACTAGTGGAAAAATTCCCTGGCTCTTTCTTGCAAGAGGCTGGAAGTAACTGTGAAAACTAGATTTTGCCCTTGGAAACTGGATCGAATAAAGTGGTCTTCTCACTGCCTACCCTGCTATCATACACTCTTGGTTTGCTGTCTTAAACAGCTGCGCTGCTGCACTTCAGAAGTGGTGCTGAATACAGCCTACAATTTATAAATCAGTTTTAAAAATGTCAAAGAGCTTTGGAATCAGTCTGGGGGAGTTACTGGGTTTCTCAGTTGCCTCCACTTCCAGGCTTTCAAAGCACCATGCTAATGACTTTCTGGCTGCCAAACTGTGAAGTCTGAAACTTGGACTGGCAATTTCATAGCATCCAGATCCTTTCTTTTCACTGAAAAGACGTATCAACAAGCTTTCAGTATAAGCCATCATTATTCTGTGTCACTTATCAGCCTGACGGAACAAGGATCCTGACCACCGAGAACAGGTTTTCAGTTTAAAAGAAGCAAGAAAGACCTGGGGGGAGCGGGGGGTACAGTCACTCTTTTCTGACAGACCCTGTATGTTAATAGCAAGCTCTATTAATTCTTGTCCTGCTTGGAGACACTAACGCTTGCTCACCTCTGCAGCTGAGAACTGCCATGATCAATGGGGAAACAGGCTACCTCTCTATGGATGTGAAGGTCCCTGTGGATAAAGGGGTAAGACATTATACTTCTGCTCAGGTCACACGAGGGAGGGGATGGGAAATGGATGCTGAAGTGCCACAAAGGATGTGGTTTTAATGCTCAGCATTTCTGAGTGTGAAGATTTTATTGTTTCACCATATACATAACACATGTGCTGAAGACATAAAATAGAGCATCGTTAGAAGTTCTTTTTATACCTATCAACATTCTGCTCATACAAAGGTATTGGAAATGCCTCCCAAATCTCTTCTTTGTCCAGGCAAAGCCAAAAAGCATGCTGTTAATTGTTTATAGGGCTGTGAAATGAATCTGGGTTCTTCAAGAGTTTAGATTGGGGAAGGCTATACTGAGCTGATCTAGACAGACAGAGGTTCGGAGGCTATTTTGTAAGTCCCTTTCCCTACCCAAAAACACTCATGAAAACTTTGTCCCTCACTCTATTAGAATGTGATTTCCTCTATCCAGGTCGAGGGTTCCATTTCTATGCAAATATTTACAGATGTTTTATGAAAAGCCCTAGTGAAAATGGAGACTTCTGAGCGTTCCCTACCAGCTCTTAGGTAGGGTTATACATCTTCCCTTGGAATCAGTGCAAAATTATCTTGCACATTTACATTCACTGGTACTTTTTCATTCAGGCTTATTTAACTCTCCCAAAGATTTTGGCTTTCATCATTTCCTGTTAGGAAGTATTCCAGAGTCCTGCAAGTTACACTGCCCAGAAGTCTTCCATATTTCAGGAAAACTTTCCATCTCTTATTAGAGAACAATATTTTTTTTTTTGGCAATCAGGCTGGCTGAACTGCTCCCATGCTAAGCTACAGTCGACACCAATTCCAATTAAACCAACTGCTCACAGCCACTGCTGAAATGGTGCCATTTCTTAATGAAGGCACCACCCTGTTTCCTTTGAACAGTTGTGCTGCTACAGCTTGTAACTAAATTCTCTTTATTTCTAGTGTTGCAACTATCAGGTACCTGTCAATGACTTTGCCCTTCCTCTCCTGGGCATTGCCAGCATCTGCATTTGAAATACTTGCACACTTTTCAGTCCAAGCTGTTCAGCAATTATTAATGTTCCCTTTGTCACTTGTACTATTTCTGGTTCACAGGTACCTGGGCTGAATTATTTGAGTACTGTTTCCCTGTTGCTCCTAGTTGCTATTGTAGAGAGTCTCTATTCTCTGCAATAGGCATTTCTGAACAGTGAGCCTCAGTTCTCCTTTCTTTTGTCCCTTCAATATTTTTATCCCTTCTACAGCTGCGTGGGAACATCTTCCTTGGTTTCCAGGCTTCTTAGCTATTTTTCCAGTTGCCATTTTTCCAAGTGAACCCCACTCCTCTGTTTTCTCTAATCTGTCTAATTTTTAGGGTCATTGAGATTTTTTTCTCAGTAGACAGAGAAGTATTGTTTTACTTTGTCTTACAGATCACTGTACATAAAGGCTCCTAAGACAGTCTCTTCCTCTCATTAGATCTTTTTCCCTGTTGTTTGCTCTTTCTTTTTGTTTACAGTGCTGCAGCTGGTTCTCACTCCACATCTTATTTAAGCCCACTTTAACAGATTCTTCAGAGTGAAATTTAATGAGAAGCTGCTTCAAGTGCTTTATATAAACCCAGATACATTGCATGTCCTTTATTCACTTCATCTATTCATCTATTACCTTTGTTATTTTTTCAGAGAAGCAATCATGGTTTTCCAGCACGATCTATTCTTTGTAAGTCTAGATTGCTTATTTTGCTAGCTTAACCTCTTTCTCTGTCTCTGTGTACCCTCAATAGCATTTATTTTGAGTCATCCAAAGACACCTCTTTAAGTTCAGTATTTTAGGGACATCTTTCTGCTCCTCTACTCGGGGAAAAAAAAAGATAACAAAAAGTAGCCTTTGTGAGAGATATTAGCCATTTTATTCTGCAGCTCTGTAAGCTTTATGAAGCACAATAGGAAACTGAAGCTGAGTATGTGACAGTTTCACCATTATCAGAATACACGTGGAGTGGGGACCAGAAGTGAAACTTAGCAATTCTCACTTGTACTCTGCCAGCTGATGAAGCAGAGCAGCATTGAAACAAAGAAAGTGCTGACAGAGCCTTGAAACAAAGACGATGAGGCAGAGAGAAGGGCTGAGTGAAGGGAGTAGGAATTATTCTGCCAGCCACATAAATGCTAGCTCCCCAGGTTGATCTCAGGGAGGCACTGAGAGCAGAGTGAGATAGAGAGGAGAAAATACGGACCAAAGAAAAGGAGTGGTTGTTATAGAGACCTAGCAGCAAAAATGCCTTTGCTTGCAACTAGGGTACCATAGGGTTGTGACTGTGAAAGCAAAAGGGCAAGGACATGTGTAAGAGCTGTAGCAAACCGCATTAGCCAGGACTGGATACCTAGTATAAGTGGTGACAATACCAAAACTGGAAACACGTCTTCCCAGACCGCAGGTGCTGGGAGTCAGCTATCCTATCCCTGTGCCAGCACACCCACATTCTTGTCTTCTCCCTTGCACTGTGTTGTGGGAGGGATGATCAGTCCTGTCTGATCATCCTCAGCCCTGCTCAGCTCAAGGGTGCCTCTGCTCCTCTTCCTTCCCATAGATAAGTGCTGATACATCCAGCTCTCTTGGGGAGGATTTGCCACCCATTCCCTCCCACCCAAACAGAGGTTTGCCCTCCTTCTCAGAAGGTACAAGTGCTGTGTGGCTGCATGTGCAGAAGAGGGGCAGCTCAGGGGAACAAAGGATAAGCAGAACAAAGCCCTGCTGAAGGAAAGGTTCTCAGAGTAGTGGCGCCCATGGGCCATTTTCCACTGCACCCTTTCTCCCAGAGACCGGCCCACACTCCTGGATCTCCTTCCACATACCTCCCTGCCTCCACCATTAGATCAGACTGGAAAGGAAAAGGAGACTTAACACCTCTTGTACCTTCCCCATAGCCACCAAAATACCACCATGCCATGGTCCTTGGTAGTATCACAGCACTTTTATAACATCTTAGGCTCAGCAAAAAACTCAGCCCCTGTTGCTCAGCAGTACACAATTGCCACGAAAGAAAGGGGAGAGAAGTGGCTGAGCCATCTGCCACTTCCTGACCTACCAATAACCCCCATCCCCATCAGCCCATACACTGCATGCACAAACTTGGGGCACAGTGTGGAGCTGTTGCTGGCTCCCCCTTTGTGCCTTGCTCGGCTTGCACTGCTGCGTGGCTTGAGCAAGCTGGAGCAGGCATGACTTTCCCTGGGGAACACTGAGTTTTCTGTGTTCACTCCCTGTCTCCCACACACATCCTCTCACCTCGTTTTCAGACCGGGGCTGGGATTTTAAGCATATTAGGGTTCATATACTGGCATAAGGGTTGGATAGAAACTTTCCAAAAACTTTTCTCCCTTGGAAAAGAGTTCCACTGAAATCAACACTTTCCTACAGGAAAAGGCCAGTCTGGCAAACAGCTGAAGTTCTGAAGCAGCTTTCAATAATCTGAAATGTCTTCAGTTGAAATATCAGTCTGAAAAACATATTTTCAAGTGAATCAAACCAGCTTGGATTTGAATCAGCACTTTTTTCCAATTTGAAAATGTAAATTGGGGGTTTTACTGATGTTTTCTAATAAAATTGAAATACGCTAATCTTTTGTCCCAGTTTAGCACAAAAGCAAATGTCAGGAATGTCAGCATTTCCCACAGGAGTGGGGAGACTTGGCCTTGGCTGCCCACCCACACTGTGGGTTGGTTTGCCATGCTGTCTCTCCTCTAACCCCACCTCTCCTTCCTACCTGCCCCACTGAGCCCCCCTCCTGCTGGGGATAATAATGATGATGATGTGCAAAGCCATCAAGGTTACTCGGTATAGCAAAAGAGCAGCAGGGCCCCAGCACATTGCCTCAGTGGGTGCAAGAGGGAGGGCAGTTTCCCCCCACCCCTTCCTTCAGGCTGTGCAGGAGCCCTAGAGCAAAGAATGGTTTAACTGAAGCCCTACATGGAAAGACAGAGTGGCTGCCTGGATCCTGAAAGTCACAAATTGCTGAATATGCTGAATACTGCGCATTCAACCCTGCCTCCAGCCAGCCCTAGCAGAGAGTGAAGTGTTGGTAATGATCAACTGCTTTTGCCTAGCTTTGGGGATGTACATCCCAGGTCCCCATCATCACTATGCTCTTGGTCTGTCAGATGGTCTCTCACTTTCTTATTCATGCTCTTATTCCAGAAACGAGTTCTTTTCCTCACCAATGATTATTTCTTTACGGACATCAGTGGAACACCCTTCAGGTGAGCAAGGATTCATGTGACACCAATCCAGGGTGTCAGAAGTCTGCCATCAGGGACAGCAAATCGGTCTCTTTTCTTCATGAAACTGGCTACAAGTCATGAGTACAGCACTGTGAATAACTGACTTCTTTGTTCCTTTAGCCATTAAAATATCCCTGGGGTCAACTCAGAAGGTATATTAGATTTATCTGAGGTTCAAAGTCTAAAAGATATAGCTCAGGTGAAACGTTTCATTTCAGAGAAATGAGACTTCTTCAGTTTTCAGTTCCACTGAATATATTTTATGCTATGGTGTATGATTCTAAACAAAACATTGTGATAAACTGAAAATTATAAAACATCTCATGACAAATCAAGCAAAAATATTTTTGCTTTTTTTTTCCCCAGCTGAAATGGTTTTAAATTAGCACAAATTCGAGAAATGTTATTGTTGACCTGAGCCTACAGCACTGGTCAAAAAACAAATGTCACCAAAATGCCTCATAGCTCTATAGACAGGCTCCTTAGCCTCGTGCTGAAACTGGATCTCACCTAATCTTTCGATCATGTTCTTTTCTTTAATAGCTGTGGGGTTGTAATTGCAGGGAATGCAGTGTCATGTTCAGGGATTACACCTCTCCTTGCTGACAAGCTCTCTTTTTTCCTTCCTGCCCGCAGCCTGGGTGTTGTGCTATCCAGGGGACATGGGGAGTACATTTTGCTGGGGAACACTTCAGTGGAAGAAGGTAGGTTAATCTGACACAGCCACGCTATCCTAAGGGATAAGGTAGCTACTCTGAACTTCACTGCTTTACTTCTCCTTCACAGCCTGTATGTGTCTGTCTGGTACCTAACTGCATACTCTATGTATTATCTGGTTTCAGGTTTGCATGACCTGCTCCAGCCAGACTTGTCTTTAGCGAATGAATGGTAAGTGGAGGAAATCCTGCCAGTCACAGAGGACTTTGTCAGGAGATTTTGGCAAAGTTCCCAGGAATTTGGTTTGAGTTCACCACTCTCTGTGGCCTAGGGAAACAGTAGTGCTGTTCAGGGTCTGTACCTGCAAAGACCTGATTGTCTCCAGGCAATTCAGTTCCATCTCTTCCTTCGGGAGATCCCACCAAGGCCTGGCACATCCCTCTGCTAAGAAACATCTCCTGAGATTTATTCTCAGTCTTCTGTGCTCAGACCTATTTTATTCCTCCTTGTGTTGCTCAGAATTGTGCCACAAAACCTACAGTATGTCAGATCTGTCAGGAATTTTTTTTGCAAGCTTGGTGAGAGATTGAAATGCTTTTTTAAATCCTAGCTTATTTTTGGTTGGCGTTCTTCTGAACTGAGCCTAGACCTAATTTCTAGTGAACATGGAGGTGATTTATGACCCCCGTTTCAATAGCAAGCGTAATTTATGGGTTTGCTTGGTTTGGATACGAAATAGGGTGAAGCATGGCACTTTCCATTTATTGCTGTGAGGTTTGGGATTTTCATGAACCCGACATTCAGTTACACTCAAGCACATGAACCCAGCCTGTATCAAAGCCAAAATAACTATATTCAACAAACCCTGCAGCCCTTCACACCTCTCATTACACTGTCAAGTTTCACAGGCAGCACATTTGAGACATAAGCAGTGACTTCTCCTTCTTCTACTCCTAACTTGGGGTGTCAGCTTACCACACTTTACATATTCATTTCTCTTAGGCTTCCCTCATAAATCACTCCTTTCAGCTCCTTTATGAGCTGTAATTCTCTCTTATAACCCCTTACCCTCCCTTGTTCTGACAATGAAGCAGTCAAAATTGAAAGCAGGATTAGAAGAATGGGATTTTTTATAATACAGAGCATTTGTAATACTGCTTCTCCCCAAAATGTGTCCTGAGGCTCCTGCAGCTGTGTCCATTTGGGACAGCTTTTACTGCCATCCTATCATACTGCAATATCATTTCTCATCTCACATTTTGTTTCTTCCTCTTGCTTTTTCTGCTCTCAGTCTACTCACATTGCACACGACCCTCTGCTTTTCAGGTCTCTCCATCAGATTGTTATTGCTCATATAGCCACATTGTTAGATTTTGAGTAGGAACAACATGCAGCAGCAGCAAAATCTCTGCAGCACAAGGTCCCTTCCTGAATTTTTGTTTGCAGCTATTATTTTCTGGAGCATTTGCCTGACTGGGTTTTCTTTCCTCTTGCTTCTTCCCTCCCCACCAGGATTTACTGCATCACCGACATTGATCCAGACCACCGGAAGCTCAACCAGCTGGAAGCTGTGATCCGATTCCTCACTGGAGAGGAGCCTGACCTGGAATGTGAGTCCCAAGCACAGAATGGGCCCTGTTGGGATTTTCCTGTACTGACCATGGGGGAGAGAGGACTGTGACAAACTGACTGGTGTCAAACTAAGCTCCTGTGACACCTGCCCGCACAGGCAGGACTGAACTCAAGCCCAACTTAATTCACAAGTGGAAATGAGCTGAGGATCCACTTCCTCATCTCTGTCAGAGGAATTTTTTTCCATTTCAAAGCTGTCACATAACTTGGCCATATTGGAGGTCTCAGCACTGGAAACACCAAAAGGTGAAAGGCTTGAATGGAGCTTGGCAAGGGCTGCACACCATGTTTAAGACAGACTGACCAGCTGGGCTAGAGGGGGTGATGGCAGGAGGAGCTAGGAAAGCTGCTGTAACTACTCTTCTCCCCAGGTCTCTGGCCAGCATCCTCCATGGGCTGCTCAGTGCCATCTAGAGAGATGGGTTCTTTCAGAATGAGGAGTATTCATCTTGTTTTCCAAACATAATTGGTAACTGACTCAGGAAAAAAAATGTGACAGAATTATTATCTTTCCTACTCCCAGTGCCGTCCCTTGCACCCATTCTCCAGGCAACATGTAGCCACACAAGCATCTGATAAAGCACCTCTATAGAGTGGGATATCTGTGCAATTTAGCTTCAGGATGTCCTTTAGCCACCTTAGGTGTGCCAAGTACAAGCTTTTGCATGTAATGCCTCTACCTGAGAGGCACAAACCTTTGGCACAAGGATGGGAATCTCTTAAAACTAAAATCAAATGTAATCCAATAATTTTTCCTCTCTTGCATAGTATGAGCAGACCCCTCCTGGCTGCCTTTGGAGCAGGTTGAAAAGAGGAGATGTATGAATTGAAGAGGCCAGAGAGGAGGAGGAAGGAAGTTTGAGGAGAGCTGACTATGAGAGCCAGGCAGACCTGGAAGTGCTGTGGAGGAAAACCAAATATGATTTGGACACATCCCAGCCAAATTAAATGAGAGAGTTCACGCAGTAGCCCTTGGGCCAGCCTAGACAGGACAACATGTGAAAAATGTGCTCTACACTGCAACCAGGGAGAATGGTCCTACCTGGAGCCTCTGGCAGAAAGCTCCAGGGGAGACTGGAGGTTCACCCCTCAGCTTTTGGAGCTGGGGATACAGAGGATATGAGGCCAGCTATAACCCAACTGAGAAAGAGATACTGGCAGCCTATAATGGGGTTCAAGCTGCTTCAGAAGTGATTGGTACTGAAGCACAACTCCTCCTGGCACCCCAACAACCAGTGGGGTTATGACAGGGGTTTTAGAGTATGTTATTTAGCACATGATGATACCTTGAAGCTTACAAAACATTTCTCAGTTCCAGTCCAGAGCAGACTAGACTGGTAGCCTAGACTGGCCAGAACTTCTGGTGGAAACCAGGACAGGACATTGTCTAATGGGACTTACAGGAAGGATGGCTAACAGAGAAGCCAATGAGTACAAGGCCAGAGTAGAGGCCATGAAGAAGTCACTAGTGGTCCTGAAGAAAGCTTCTTGAATGGATTGGGGTGGCTGGTGTCCTCTGTACAGGGCATCCAGAAGAAAGGTCAAGGCAAAGATCTGAGGCAATGACTGTGGTCAGCCTATTCAATCAAGGAAAAGGTCAGAGTGAAGGTCTGATGAAGAACTTCATCTGAAAGCCTCTCACTTGCCCAGACTTTAAAACCCAAACCCTTCCACTGAGTTTACAGTTGATAATCTTAGCTGTAACATCTGTTCTTGTGTTCTCCTCCATCCCGGGGTGGTAGGTCATGTTCTCAGACCTCAACAGGAGGCCTCTTTTTGTGCTGTGTTGTTCTACTGTCCTGGCAAGGCAGATGCTCCTTAACAAAGGACTCTCTAATACATCTAGGGAGGAACATGCTTTTCTTCCCTGATTCTTCTTCTCCCTTCTTCTTAGGTGATGAGGAGTTGGTCCAGGAAGTGCTGTTTGATGCAGTAGTCACTGCACCCATGGAGGCCTACTGGACAACCCTAGCCCTCAATATGTCCATGTAAGTGTACAAGAAATAAATATGGGTAAGACATCATTGAGGATGTATCTCCAGATGCTATGGGCTTATGCAGTGCCCAAAACAGTCACAGACCATTGTAGAGTGTATAAGAAACTTTAGAAATAGCTCAAAAGCTGACAGAAATAGCTCAATACCTTTAAAAATAACTCCAAAAGTGTCTCTGAGGAGTGGACTCCAACAGGCTGGGCCTTCTCAGGAGAGCCTTTAGTTTGGTGAGGGGCTTTTTGGTAACAAATCATTAACACAACCCATGTCTTGAATATCACTGGAGAAGAGCAGTGATCTGGGTGTGTCACTGCAAGGGGTGTTCAGCACCAATTCTTTGCACCACCTAACTCGGATGCCTTGCATTTGCCCCTTTAGTTGATAGAGTTTGGTACCTTAGGACACCTCAGGGCATTTCACTTTGAAGTTGTTATGATTTATTTCCCCCTTTATCAGTTATCCCTTTAAATGGCAGCAATGTGGTTTGGCCCAACTCCCCTTATGACTGTAGCAGAAGTTCCATCCCAGGTGGCAAGTAATTTGTTCCTTTACCAGCAGTAAAGAAAAGGGAGTTTGATCTTGTCTCTGTTGGTGATGCCTTCAGACTGAGCTTCACAGAGTGGATGGGCTGGCTTCAGTGAACAACTTCCTAGTCTATTTCCAGTAAGGCATCTATTGCTTGTAGTACCTCGTATCAAACAGATCTTCTTTCAGCAGACTACATGCTACTTACCTGTGTGGCCTTGGGATTCCTGTCCCTCTTTCAGTTACCAGTATCCCTACCACTGCCAGATGCTCCACCAGTGGCAGTCATGCTAGGACACCCAGTTAACAGCATGTCTTTAAACAGCTGCACCAGGACACCCTCTTCAGAGTCATTCTGCTACCCTACCCATTCTCTGCATACCTGATCCTGCCACTCTCTCTACGGTTCCTCTCCTTCATTTCAGCTTCATGTGGGCAGCCTAGAGCAGGGCTAACAGGAGGAGAGGAGCTTATGGTATACTTAGAAGAGAATAAAATAAGCAAATTTCAAAGGTGTGAATCTAGGTACAAGTCTAAGCCTGCCAGTTGTTAGCCAGTAACAACCTGTTGCCATTAGCAGGGAGGAGCCAGTGCCACCCCTGGTGTGAATAGGTTACGTTGCTGATGAACTTGGGACTATATCTCCAGGTGTGGTTTCTTATTTGAAATGCCCTCACCCTGTGGCAGAGAGATGTCTGTTCTTGTGGGAACTGTTTGCTTCTGCTTGTGTGTTTCTGTTCCACAGGGAGACTGAGACAGGTGTTGAGATGGCATTTCTGGGCACTCGGGCTGGGCTCATGAGGAATGCCCTATACGTGGGCTCTGAGAAAATTTCCAACAGGTAAGTCCCTAAATTGCACTAAAGGGTTTCTCTCAGTGTCTCTGAAGGGGCAGCATGAAACCACCACCAGCCTTAGAAATGTATTTGGGAAGACAGAAAAAAAAGGAAAGAAGCAACACCTCAATGGCCTTGGTGCCTATTTACAGAATTAGGGCAGTGGTCCTTTGTCTTCTTCTGGTTCGAGTTTTTCTTAAAATGCTCTCCCAGCATGCATTCCATTCAATGAAAACCTTCAATTATTCCCTGACTTCAGTCAGCTAACAAAGAAAATGTCCTCAGTTACTATATATCCCCAGGACCATTTTGCAGTGCAAAGGCTCTGCACTTCAGTGCCCTGGTGACATTCCAGCTTGGCTAGATTTGATCTTTCTGTCTCAATTTCTCTTCCAGTTTTATTCTGTTCTACCTCTTACATTGCCTACATCACAGTACCCCAGTGCGTTCCAGTGAGGCATTTAGTGATGTGACTGACATCTGCCATATACGATTCATTCCCTTGTGTTCTCCCTGAAGGCAAAAGCGTGTGTTCAGTGGAGGATTCTGACACGGAAAGGATATAGCTTGCATTTTTGCTGTGTTTTGAATACACAGGCTGGTGCATGCTGCTTAAGAAAGGATTGGTCACAGAGGCACGCCAGCAGATGGAACAGAAGGGGACGGAGTCGGTGGTGGTCGTTAGCTTCTTGGCAGCTCTTTCACTGTCTCTGAGTTCCCCAAACACAAGTCATAGGTTCAAGGCAGACAACTCTGCTGTGCCTGGAAGGTGACATTCTTCATGTTTTTGAGGCAGTCCGGATAAGTCAGAGTAGTCAGGCTCCAGCAACAAGGAAGAAATCTATGTGTGCTGCAGCAGGCAGATATGATGATTCCCTATCCCCCACTGCGCATCAGGAACATCATTTGATGCTTTTAAACAGATGCAGTCATGACACTGCAGTGACAGACCCCCACGCATCACGTAAGAGGCACTTCTGGAATCCCCGGAAAGGGAGGAACTGTATAAATGAGTAATTATCGCTATGTCAAAATATCTAAACAGGAGACTGAAAACAAAGGGGATTTGTCAGGCAAGATGTAGGGACCTCCAGGGAAGGCAATGACCTGATTTTCATGAGGCCTCTCCTGAGCACCCACTGCTTATCTTGCCATGCCTTCAGGACTCATCCTCTTGCCTTCAAGAGCACCCGTTTCCTCAAATACTTCATCCGCCCCTAGGAGTTCCATATTTAGCCACAGCAGCATGACCTTTGGTTTGGGGTGGGTTTCGGTTTGGGTTGTTTTTTTTTCATACAATCTCAGACTGGTTTGGGTTGGAAGGGACCTTAAAGCTCACCCAGTTTCAACCCCCTGCCTTGGGCAGGAACACCTTCCACTAGAGCAGGTTGCTCAAAGCACCCTCCAACCTGGCCTGATAGGGTGGGACAGCCACAGATTTTCTGGGCAACCTCTTCCAGTGTCTCACCACCTTCACAGTAAAGCGTTTCTTCAGAATATCTAATCTAAATCTACCCCCTGTTGGTTTAAAACCATTCTCCCTTGTCCTGTCACTACCTGCCCTTGTAAAAAGTCCCTCTCCAGGTTTCTTATAGCCCCCTTTAGGCACTGGAAGCTGCTCTAAGGTCTCCTCAGAGCCTTCTCCAGGCTGAACAAGCCCAACTCTTCCAAACTGTCTTCATAGGAGAGGATTTCCTATTTTTTTAATTAATATTATTGGGGGCTTTAAAACTTGTGTTATTGCTTTTTTTTTCTTTTTAGGATATTGTCTAATTTCCTCACCTGCTCCCCATTTGCCTGCAGTAACTGGCCATACGCCATCACTATGGCTCATGCCTGTCGCCTGTCCGCCTCCCGGCTCTGCCCCTTGCTCCTCATCGAGTAACCTGCCAGGCCTCCCGCGGGGCAGGCGGACTGCTCTCCCTCCCGGGCACTAAGACCCACAGGCCGAGGAAAGCCGCGGAACCCCACACACAGCCGGGACGCTGCCGGCCCGCGGCCTCCCCTCTCCCGCCCTTGGGGCCGCCGCTGGCCGCGGCTCCGAGGGCCTCGGCCGGGGCAACAGCGGCACCTGGCGGGCGGCCGGCAGAGGCGCGGCGGCAGCGGGGAGCGGTGCGCTGCCGGACAATGGCCGCGGGTGTAGCTGTCAGCGGGCCCGGCCGGGCTGCAGAAGGAGCCCGTCCCGGGGGTCGGTCGCTGACCGACGCCTGGCGGGGGGTGTGAGGCACTGGTTTCAGTAGCCCCGGAGTCCTCGCTGTCTGCTCCGGTGTCCCCGGGGCGAGGGGTGCTCCACGTGGCGTGTTTCGGTCCCCTGGGGGTCCCACCGCGGCAGGGGAAGCCCCAGGGGATGGGATGCAGGTGCTGTGCCCAGCCGCAGGGGTCCCGCTGCATTGCCCCAAGCAGGGCTGCCCAGCTCCTTCCCACTGTGCACAACGGCCGCCCTGGGTTTTCTCTCGGCAGGAAATTCCTGACACAGAAGGACAAGGAAAGTATCTTCACCATGGACCACTTCCCTCTGTGGTACCGGCGGGCAGCTGAGCATCCCCCCGGGAGCTTCATCTACAGCATTGTCTCAGAAGATGATTCAGGTAAACCCAGCCTGAACACCAGAGGAGAGGGAAAGAGAAGGCTTTTCACATCCTGCTTCCCACACCATGTTTGCCCCAATCCCTTTATTGCTGCCTCCTGTCTAGTGGGAAACGCTGAGGCCTGCCTTTTGGCCTGCCTTTGCACCAGTAGGGAGGGCATGGCAGAGGGGGCATTGCCGAAATACTGACACAGCAGAAAGAGAAAGCTACAAGCTGCGCAGAAAGCAGTCAGGGCTGCACAACATGAGGTTTGCAGGGGAGATGAAGGACACGTGGAAGTGCAGGGACGGGGTAGACCAAAGGATTTAGGCAGGTGGGAAGCAGGGGAACACATGAACCATGAGAAGAGGGTATCACAGAAGGGGTTGGGACATACAGGCATGCCTCAGAGGGAACATCAGGCATACTGCATGACAGTAACAGCTGGGACTGATGAGGGATCAGCGAGCACTTGTCAAGAAGTCTGAGTTTAGAGGGCAGCATTTTTTCTGTCACCACTTTCCATGATGGGAAGGGATGGGTTTGTTTTGGAAGATGGTGGAGGAAAAGGGAAGAAGGCTCTTCCATAGCTTCTCAGGAAGGGCTTCTTCAAAGGCTGGAAGAGAGCAGAAGAACCTGGAAGAAACAGTCAAAACAAAGCCTCATGTGAGGCTCCTACACAGAAGGCAGAAGTCCCCTCTGTGCTCCTTCCTGGCCCCTAGTTCTCCATCTCTGTCACAGAGCTCAGCACTTTAGCTGCTAAAGCTTTTTGTGGCACAATGGTGGGAGGCTGGTGGGTGGGAAAGCAAGTAGCAAAGAAGAGAAAACCTGACTTGGAGGCAAGCGATGAACCAGGATGTAAAGGGAGAGCGAATGGAAAGAGAATACTTGAAACCTTCCATGAAAGCCTCTCTGCCCAGCACCCTTGTATCTCACTTAAAAGGCAACTGTGGAGAGAGGAGGAGGCGTGGCAGGACCTTTTACTCTCCTGCATGCCAAAGCGTTTGCTCTTTGGAACAGAGTGTGGGTTAGAAAACCAGACAGTGACATCATCTGGGGCTTCCTAGGACAGCCATTACCCAGGCCACAGTAATCACTGCTGGCTAAAAACTGGAGTTGTGGCTTGATGTGGCTTTCTTAGAAGTCATAGGTAATTTTCCATTAATAAAGACAAAACACAAGCAGCTGCCACTGTTTTTTGTATTATGTGGCTGTTTGTCAGAAACTTCAATCAAGTCCAGGACCCCATTCACCTGGAAACCCTGCAGGCACATTGTAAGAAGTAATATTTGACCCTGAAGACCTTGTGTTCTAAACTGTAAGGGAGATTAGGCTCTTTAGAGATGAACAGCTAGGCTTAGGAGACAGTGATCCATGAGGCCACACAGTATGCCTGGGAAGAGCCAGAAAATACTATTCAGTGCTTCTAAGACACAGTGCTGCACCATCAGAGCAGAGTCCAGGCCCTCCCTTGACATCCAAAGGAGCAGGGGTGTCCCACCATTTGACCACCCAGTTTCGTAGTAAGTTCCTGATGAATAAATGTTGAAATACCCTTTTCATGCTTTCTACATGTGCCCTCCACCCATGACAAAGGGTTTCCAGGACAGATGCACTTCTCATTACATAAGAGGGAAGAGCCAGAAGACCTCCCCATTGGGGAGGAAACCAGCAGGGAATGACTGCAGATCATCAGAATAATTTATTGAGGGCACTTCCTTCTAGTGTTCAAAAGTCCCACAGGGAAGAATACAGCAGAGAAAGCTCTGCAAGTCAGCTGTTCTCGCAGCCCATATCTCTCATGTGTTGGGTGCTTTGTTATTTTGGGTTGGTTTGTTTGTTTGTTTTGCTAGAGATGCTAAGTGTCTTTTGCTTCTTTATCTCATCCTAGGAAGAGCAAGACATTTGGGGTTCACCATAAAGGCTGAATCAGGCTCAAGTCATGTGAGCATCAGTTGCCTGGGTATTTGTTTCACAAGGGCTTTACTATATCTGACATCACAGGGCAAGTTAATCTGGCTTCAGTCTAAAAAATAATGAGAGACTCCAGGCTAAAATGTGGCAGACACTGAATTGTGCTTTGGACACACTGGGTGCCACCTAGAATGATGAAGGCAGAAACGGGAAGCAGAAACAAATGCTGGAGCTCTTGGGATTGAAAGAATCCCTGACCCATCTGTCTGAGCAAGAGATTTCCATTCAACACACAAGTGAGGAATCAGTTGCAGGCTAAATCGATCATGCTGACCTTCAGAGTGTCCCCTGGCAGTTCCAAAAGAGGTGCCCCTGCTGAAGCTAATCTAATCACTTTAAGAAAACACAGAAATTGAATCTGTCACATGGACAATTGCAGTCTGAAACAACTGCACTGACAAAGAGAAGGGAGATGAGGTTCAGTTGCTTAAACCTATCCAGCCATGCTATTTTAAGTGCCCTGTGGAAGCCAAGAGATCTGCACAGGGCTGGCAGCTGTGACACAGGACCTACAGGATGCTTAAAGCAGCAGCTAAAGGATAATCAGGAGAGCCTGGGGCATAACAGAGTTTGGGCAGAAGACTTCGTTCCTAAAATGGAGCACGCCCTGGAAAGTACCTGGAAGTGCTGTGCCTGTCTCTCCAATTTGTAGTGCGGGTCTGGCTTGGGTAGCAGAATGCAAGAGTCAATGTCAGAATTGCCTATCCCACTTCTCCTCTGTCTAAAAGGTTTAGCTAGTGCATGAAGCACAGCAGTTTTCTGGCCTAAAAGTAGCTCTACGTGCCCAAAACTGAGGAGGCCAGTCCCTTTTTATGCTGAGAGGGTGCTACTTTTATCAGGGGACCTTATCTACAAGAAGAAAAAGATCTACTCATAGCCACTTAGGTTGTTTGTGTCTTGAAAGATGCAGGCTTCTAGCTTCTTGGGTGTTTCAGGGTTGAGGCATCTGTGCACACTGTCCTGGGTGCGAAAATGTGTGAGCAAGCTGAACCTGCTTGTTTTTCTCCTCTGCGGTGATAAGCTAACCAAGCCTGCCGTATTTGTGTCTTAACAGAGGGAAGCGGCCTGCCAAAAGTGGTGACAGTGAGCACGGCTGTGTCTGTGTCTGTGGATGGGAAGATGGGTATTGCTGCAGGTAGGACATTCTGGTTTCTCTTTTTATCTTGAATGAAATGATTGCATCTTTTATTGAGAGTGGGAGCTGGGAGCTGTTTGTTAGCTTGCCACTCAAGGGAGATGATGTGAGCCACAATAGTTTGTGATGTTGAAAACTAGGCTAAAGAGAGAATACTGAAACAGGTACTGAATAGCTGATAGGCTTTTGGAAGGGAAATTGACTGAATGGAAGCTTACCATCTTCAATGCTGGTGGATTTGTGGATCGAGACTGTTTCTCTGAAATGTGAATAGGCTGAGAAGTCCATGCAGATTTTGAACTGTTTGCAGGAGACACTTTGGTTTTGGAAGAAAAGCGTGTTCATGCATCTCCGTCGTTATCTCAGCTGAAAAATAACTTTTGCTGGTGGAATGGGTTTGTTGCTAGACTTCCAGCTCAGACATATAGATTGCCAATTTATTTTTGTAGATGAGCTTTAAACCCCTTTTGGCAGACCTTCACTAGATTCTGTGTCTACTTTTGGAAAATTCATAAACCACGTTACTTCCAGCAGAACTCCAAAGCTTTTGAACCCTTACCATTTTCTGCAGCAATTGCTTCTGCCTTTACAGAAGTACAGTAAACTCAGAAGTGAAACAGAGCAGCCATTTAATGAAACATTTTTAATCAATAATGCTGGCATCGTATCCAACTTAAATGCTCTGTGTAGGAGTATTGGGTAAGAGAAGATGTATCTCAGTGGAATTTGGTTTAGAAGTGGAAGCATTGATTAAGGGAAGAAGTTGATGAACACGTAATGGAGTAATTATCACTAAACACTTGCCAAGAAGCAAAGTTACTTGTGAAATAATTGTTATACGAGTACCTAGTAGAGAGAAGGTCATACAGCAGATATCTTGAGGGAGTCAGCCATTGCTCTTCCCTAGGCTGGGTAGGATACAGCGACTGGTCTTTAGTACTACAGTAAAACTATGTCAGTTTTTCTGATGAAGCAAACATTCCTTACCTTCTAGTTTTTTAGTAAGTTCCAGTTGGGAGTGGTACTCTTAAAGTATAGAATCATAGAATAGTTAGGGCTGGAAAGGACCTCAAGATCATCTAGTTCCAACCCGCCTGCCATGAGCAGGGACACCTCACACTAAATCATGTCACTCAAAGCTCTGTCCAACCTGGACTTGAACACCACCAGGGATGGAGCATTCACAACTTCCTTGGGCAACCCATTCCAGTGCCTCACCATGCTCACAGTAAAGAACTTCTTCCTTATATCTAAAAGTATCATGTGGGCATTGAGGAAATACTTATAAGCTGAAGGAGGGGTGTTATGAAATAGCCCTTTTCACTAATAAACCACCATTTCAAGCCCAAATCCAGAAAATCATTATGAAGTCTGTCCCTGTGAAATAGAGATGGTTTCAGTAAAGCTCATGTTTGATAGGTGCTTGGGTCACAGAAAGTGCTCTCAAAGTTGATACTGGCTGATGCTGTTATAAGAATACCCAGCAGAAAATTAAATAGCAGTGAAACAGTACCAAGAGTTTCTGCAGCACTGGAGCATTTGGAGCATTTTTCTAAGCATGAAAAGCTTTTTTTTGGTTTGTTTTTGGGTGTTTTTTTTTTAAGATTGTTTTTCATTATTGTTTTCATTCCGTTCCCTGACCTGTGAGTTAGAACAGAGGCACACAAGCAGTTCATCTGGCACTCGGCATAAATATAAGGAAGGAAACTTCTGAGTTGGAAGAGCTGGAGCAAGAACAAGTGGCAGGAGGATCTGCCCCTGACAGAGCCATTTCTCTTCTGTCAGCAGTGCTTTTCACAACCCCTGTGGAGATTTCCACCCACTCGGTTATGCTGAATACTGATTTGACTCTTCTGTGTGGACATGCTGTGAAGGGGCAGGATCCTCTGCAGAGGGAAGAGGAGGGCAGAGAAAGAGCAGAGGATAGGGAAAGAAATCATGTTAAAACAATAAGGCAAAAATTGTGTCATCTGTAGAAATGATCCAGAACAAACTATTTTCCTCACTGGTAACCACAGAAGTTGAGACATAGAAATGAATTCTCAGTTGCTTTTGTTCCTTAAAGGTGCCACAGTCCCTGTCAGTAGCAGGCACATTAAGCATCCTGACTGTAAGCATCTTTGCTTACTTTCACACATGGTACATATAGCTGAGTGTTCTTCATTCCCCATTTCTTATGCATTGATGAAAACTACCCACATTTCATCCAAAGAATGGCCTGCATGACAGCACCGAGGGAAATAACTTCTCCCAAAAGGTCCAAGTCCTTTGGGCCCACAGCTGTATCCCCATTCACTTCGTGGGAGTACAAGGGCTTGCCAAGGTATTTCCCATCTGCTGACTTGGGTGTAAGTTTACACCTTGGTTCGGGTGTTTTAGGGAGCAAAAAATTACTATATATTGCCTTTTCTTTGCTTCCAGTAGCAACTAGGTTAATCATCTGAATTTTTGATACCAATAGTCATTTAAAAGAAGACAAAAAGGAAATAATTATAGGTAGATAGTATAGGTCACACTACCTGTTACAATACTGTTTGATCTTGAGGATAGCAGCTTTGAGAGAAGGGTATAGGCCTGCCTTCATCTCCCCTCACACTAATATAATCAGTCCTGAGTGGCTAGGACATGATTCTAGGGTACTTCACAGCAGAGGCTGCAGCATAAATGATGCTGGGGAGTGCTGCAATACCATCCTGAGTACAGAAGAGAGGTGAAGGAAGAGGAGTGAGAGGAGACACAGCAAGAAGCAATCAGAGCAGAATGGGATGCAGATTGTTGTTATTGTTATTCTGATGGCATCAGCCCTCAGTGGGATTGATATCATGTTCATTTAGAGTTAGAATACTGTTGGTAGTTTGGTAGCACAGGTTCCCAGAAAGCCACATATCTTGGAAGGCTTGTAGTTTCTGGATAAATACAGGCACAGTTCTGTAAAAGGGGAACAACAGAGACTTTTTAAGTGCCCCTATAGAAGTGCAAGTGATATGAACTGGCCTGTCATTCTGCCACTGATTGTTACTGTCACTTGTTTGACTTGACAGTGCTTGGGGGGGAATTGGTGAGCATTCTGAAATGTTCACTATGCATGCAGTGAAAAACTCAGCTCTAGGATTTACAGCCATGCCTATGGGGAGGGAGCACCCCCAGTGCCCCCATGGGAAGAATGCCAGTGACAGGAAGCATCGAGCCCCTTTACTTCTGGCGGTTGAATAGCAGTCCCCAGCCTAGACAGAGAAAGGCAAACTGCTAAAATCAAATGTCCAGGAAGATGACACAGGCCTGATGCTGTCAGGGAGTGAGGGAGCAGTCAACTTGGATTGGAAAGCACCCACACTGGAGGGCTGAGAACAGAAATAGGGTGGGAGTACAAGAGCCTCTTCCCTCCCATTTTGGTCTGGCTTAGCTCAAAAGGGAATCCCAGAATGGGTTGGAGGGGAGTCTGAGATGCTTCTCTCACTGTTAGAGATGTTGCTCCACACAAGGATGGGTGGTGAGGCGGCCAAATTCAGGAGGCAAAAGCAGTGTCCTCTGCCCTGCCCTACCCTACCCTTTCCTTCTTTCACCCATCCCTCTCCTTCCGTTGTGGGCCACGTCCCTATATCTCTGCACAAGGGGGATGAGCAAAGGGTTCAAGGTACCTGCAGGTCTCTTGGAGGACATGGTGGAGCCAAGGCAAGGTCCGTTTGTGTGAGCTGAATTGGTGTGGTCTCTTTGGTTGGAAGCCACACAGGCAAACCTACCCCTGGCTTGGCTATACCTGTTTCTTTAAATTAATAATATCTCTTGCTATATTGTGCTTTGGCACGTCAAAGCACTATGCAAACATTAAGTAATGCCTGGATGATTAATTATAATTAATTAGAAGGCAGCTATTCTCCTGGGATGTCAGTCCAGTAGGTTTCACGCACACTAACTTTGTTGGAAATGAAAAATAAGGAATTGTGATGGCACTCTCCCCAAGCCAAGTCCTGCCCCAGATAGCACTGTCATCTGCTGCCTCCCGTGAGTCAGTAGCCTGGGGCTTTCTGGTCCTCAGGGTGCGAGGCAGAAATTACATGTAGTTGCTGACAGAAGCTTTTAGTGATTTAAAGCCCCAGTGAAACTGCTGGAATCTGCGCAGGAGTTTAGCTGTCACTTTGGGCTGTGTATGACATCTCTTTCATTGCCTGACCTTCTCACTGTTTGACTTATGTGGTGTCAGCTGGCTGCCAGTCCCAACTGGGCAGGTAGGGGTTTCTTTCCATTAAGTTTCTTGCCATGGCTGTCATGTCTTAGGGATGGGAAACAGCTGATACCAGCAAACAGTGTGGCATGCACAGTCTCCGTAATGCCCAATAAAAACCAATCTAAGTGGGCCCTTAGGAAATGCAGGTTTATTTTATACAGTACCTTTCTTCTCTGTTTGTAGTGAAAGGTACTGTTAGTTCTTATCTGCAGTGATTGGACCACGGTGAAATTGTTATCCCATGACACCAATTGCGTACAGAGATATATTTGGGAAGAGTGCTCGGCAAGCTGAATCAAGGATGAGAGAAGAGAAATATTGTCTCTGTTTTACAGAGGATGTTTGGGGACACTGAGTTATTAAGGCCAGTATTTTCAGAAGAGCTCTTTATTCACAGCAGGAGCAGAGTTTTTAAAAAGCTTAGATTTTTGTCAAAAGTATTCAAAATCAACCATTCTGAAAAATAGATAATGGGAAGTAATTTTGCCATTATACTGGTTAAAATCCAGCCTCTATCAGTCCAACAGAAGCTCTTCATTTGAAAAGCGATTACTGGCCAGCTTGACATCTCTCCATCCTCTTCCTTGGTCCCCAGTTTTGGCTACCTGCTGTCTCTTACCAGTAAGCAGGGAGAGGAAGTGCAGTTAGTTGGGTTTTTCAACAGTTCTGTTGCTGTGGCAGCTTTTCAAACTAATCTACATGCAATTCTGTATTCCTAAAGTTTTGTTGCTTGGGTGGATAAAATATTTCAACCTTCTCTCTAGAAAATGACAGT